TGTCTCTCGTGGGGACACTATTTCCTTAAAACTTAGTAAAGCATGGATGGACACAATTATTGCCAATTATGCTCTCAACTTGTTAACTGTATTGTTGGAATTCTATCCCACCAATGCTCCAAAAGGCTGAGTACAAGGAGAAGAGAGAGGAGTAGAAGTGATGTTGTAGCCCAACCACTCTTGTCTCTATAGGATATTGTAAAATCTAGCAACCACGATTACTTGCGGTCTTGCAGTAGAGTTTCTTACATGAGGAAGCAAAAGTTGTATCAGGTAACAAGATGTGCCAATTAGTTAAGTTGGCTAGTTATTATTTTTTATTATTATTTACGGGTGTTCTCCTATTAATTATAAACAAAGTTATTACTAATATGTTGGAAGAATGATTTAAGTTGGTAGGCATCAGCTAGAGCCAACTACTATATATTATAGGCCATATCATCACTGATCACAGGTGACCATAACTATTGGTCAATTTTTAACTTTAAAACTATTTTCAAAATCAGCACAGTCAAGTATTTTTTGTTTTACTTTTTTAAAATAAATTAAAAATAATTTTTAAAATAAAAAAGGAACAAAATCAAACAAGCCCTCGTTTTCGCCGGTAAGCACAACATGATATTAATGTGTATCCTTCAACTTGAGGTTGAGCTATTAGTATCAGGTCAACACTTTTATTATCCTCTTCTTTTTTAGACAAAAGCATGACTATATATCCTTACAGATGCATGCTAGCCAACAATTACACTAGTTGCTTGCGCTTATCTCTCTACTCATGCAACTCCTTCTACGCTTTAATTATTTTCATGGTTTTCTTAATGGTAGCGTGTCAGTTGACCAGTAATTAAGACATATCCAAACCATGCATATCTTTTTATATGTACATGTGCCCGCATTATTGGTTGACTTGTGCCAATTATTTCACGCACAAGCTATCAGCACAGTGAAATTCTGTGTGTTGTCGATGCAGGGAAGGAGGACAGATTCCCCAAGTTTGAAATGTGGCAATTGAGTTTACTGTGGTTGGGAGTGCACTGCCGGGTCACTACATGCATAATTATAGTACAGGCTCCACACCACAATCATATCACTGTAGTTGGAATTATTACCTGATCATGATTACAACTTACTAGGTTTAATTAGCTTTATATATATTAGCTGCAGCTAGGAACAGTGAATCGTGGGCTGAGCAAACGCTGAAAGTTATTTGGGATTTGGATTCTGATCGTGAGGGGCTGGCCCACGAAGGAGATACGACGATCCCTGGATCTTTATGGGGCGGCACTTTGGGGGTGGATGAAGTGTGCTGCTGTGCATATGATGTGATGTGGAATTAATATTCACTCAAAAGTGGTATGTATTCAAAAGCATTTCTGTTTTGGATTTCAAAGGGAATGCAATGGTCCACAATGCAACGCACTGTCATTAGCCCCCCCATCTCTTAATGTCACTATTTGATCGGATTATATTTGTATATATCATTGGGTCTAAATTAAGCAAGTTTTTTTTTTCTGAAATGTTTTTTTTTAATTTAAAATCTCATGGTTCAACAGAATCAACATATGTGCATGCTAGTGCTATCACTAGTTTTAAATTAATATGGAAAAGAAAGAATATACGAGATCAGCTCACCACCACATATATGTACATACGATTATAGCCACTGAAATTGTCAGCCCTTCTGTCCTTTCATTATTTTTCACATAGCTGTGCGGAGCACTTAGTACGTAGTTTGGGAAATAGATTTAGCAGAAATTAATAACATATCTCCCCCAGACGCCTGTGTGATCCTAACAAGTTCTCAATTAATGCGTATACAAGTCATGCGATTAAATTGCATCATAGTCTTCCCCGATCGACGTGGTTGCGGCTGCTTGCTTGCAAATGATCGGTATGTTTAAGTCTCGCTCAAATAGTACGAATCATTCATTTCTGGAGGGACATATATACATATACATGATGGTTAGTTTAGTGAAAAAAATTAATCTTTTACAAGATGACAAACTAATGTTTGAATTCTAGCAGGAAAATGTATTTATATTTAATATCCGATAATACTTAATACCTCAACTATAATTATTTCCAATAATAAGACACGTTAATAACATTTGTTGCGCGCTACTCTCTTTATAATTTTACCAACGTGTAAATCCAAAAACAGGCAAATTTTTTTCTCTAGTGATATAAAATTTAAAGCTCTAAATTAAAGTGCCCCTCAAATCGATCTGATTTGTTATTAACAGGTTCGACTTCACTCGTAGGAAGAAATTCATACAGAAAGAATTTGAATTAGTTGCTTTACAACTGGTGGTGGGTTGGGTACGTATCACTTAACCAGTTGACAAGGATGCTTCTGCAATATTATTCGGTATGACGCATATATATCAACAAAAAATACTGCTGTATCAATCAAAAGTCTCCAATATTCTGTCCGCAGCATAAACTTGATGTCTCCCGTCATCAAATACCTCGCCTTCCCTCGTTCCTTAATTTTACAGGGTATCAAACTTTTGGTCCCAATCGAGGCAATAACGTGGCCACCATCTGTGACTATAAAGAACCAAAAGCGACTGCACCTGCGTGGCCAGTCCTCTCCTAGTGGGAATAGTTTCTCTCCTCTCAATCACTTCTCTTCCAAAATTATTAAAGCCAACACTGAAAATAACCCAAATCTTGTTTCTCTTATGCGTGTTTCACAATTCTCCTTCTCCCCCTTTAAAGTTGTCGCTTTCGTACCATTAAAGGAAAAAAAAAAAAATAATGGCGGTTAGCTTCTAGTTCGTCCACTGTATGCCCAAGCCACATATAGTGCTTTCTGGATGGCATCAATTCCTCGGGGCACTGTATAACACTGCAACCGTAACGTCACTCTTTTTTTAAGAGAAACCAAACCAAACAAGTCTTGTCAATTTATACACACGAAACTACAATTATTTGAGTTTGACAATCCAAAGATCATGGGCCGGCCCATTCCTCTTGCAACGAGTCCAGTTGCTTTTTATGCATCAATGAACCTCGGGCCTTTGAGTCCATTTTGGGCTCCTCAGCCCAATACCGAAGGCCTGTCGTTAAGATACAAGTGGTATCTGGCTGGGTCACTTCTTCCATCGCAGACTCTCTTGACTGAGTGTTTGGGCAATGCCGTCTACATTCGGTTAGGTAGAGTTAAGTTTTGTTTAAATAAATTTAAGTTTATATATAAGTTAAAGGTTTGAGTTTAACTTAAAATTTATACAAAACTTTTTTACTGCTCAGATTTAAGCTTACCTAAAACTTGTCATGACTTGAAATTTTATTTAAAACTCTACTTAAAAGCAAGCCTTCTGAATAAACTAGTATTTTAATTTCAAATGTCTCAAATATACTTTAAAATTATCAATATAAATATATAATCTGATTTATCAATTACAATATATAATAATTAAAAGAATTTACCAACTATTATATAATATAATAATAAAATAATAATATTAAAATTAATATATAAGTTCAATCTGATTGAAAACATAACTAAAAATTTTAAAAATTGATTGATTAAAAATTAAACTGTAAAACTAATATGTGTGATATGTTATATAATGTACGTACGTATGTATGTATGTAAATAGTCAACCTGTTAAACTCATAGACTGAACTTGATTTATTTAATTAAATAGATATTATTAAATGTGACTTGAATCTATTTACAAATAGGGCTAGATTAACCTGAAGTAGTAGGCCAAACTTATTCCCATCCCTACCCCAAACCCCACCTGTAAAAAAAAAAAAATGACACATCTATAAATTACTATAAACTTGAGAGGGGCCTGGGAGTTTCCACTTTCCAGCAGAAGCTAGGCAGATGTGGCAATGCCGCAATGGTAGTATAGAATATAATATATTTGATTTGCTTAAAATGTAAACTTTGTTGTTAAACTTTAAACCCGTGTGCATCAATAATTCTACTATTCCTTGAAATTGAAAGCACGTGGGCGGCCATTCTTCCAGTGATGTCTCTGTTTTACTTTCTGATTTTGCCATTGCATCAACTCCAGCTCCGGAGCACCAGATAAGGAAGTGTGCGGAATTGCCAACATCCCGCCTCCAAAAGAATCAGACTATTTCTTGCACGATCCATATCAACTTTCCTTCCGCTTGAAACTTCACTCCGACCAATGAGTGTGCAGACGCACACAAATTTATATACGATTCCAGTTTCTACTTCATGTGCAAATATATTCAATATTGGTCTCATAAAAAATTTTTTTATTTATAAAATTATATATCATTTTAAATAAATATAACTTTTAACTCATATAGTTTACTTACATTTTTGCTTTTGAATTTTTTTTTATATTTTAAATTTTTAACTTTTATTTTTTTTATTTTGAGTTTCAAGATTTCTATATTTTGATTGTAAGAAGACTAAAAATAATTAAAAAATAAAAATATAAAAACTTAAAATATTAAAAAAATATAGAGATTTAAAATAAATTTCGAATAAAATATAGCAACAAAAAATTATATTTATCCTGTTATTTTTCTTTCTTCTTTTGATCCTTCTCCTGCCTCGTTCCATTGTACGGAAGGGTCCTGCTTGTCTACGTGGCACTAGTCGCTGGTAAAGAACACTGTACGTGATGATGGCGTACTGTAGAGGAAGCGTGCTGTTCGCCCACCCGTGCTCGCATTTCATTGTCGCTTCATTTTGGAATCCCGAAGCCGGTACACCAAATACGTCTTTGGTCCGCGACCCCACCTCTCGATTTTGATATTTGAATTCGTGCGTTGCTTTTCCCTTCTTTCCAATTCTTTTGCCGCTCTCTCTCCCCCTCTCTCTCCAAACTTGAATTTGATATTAAAGAATGCATAAATCCAATGAACAGAGAGAGTTTTCTATATTGGTGCCCCCCTTTTGACTCTCAGGTGTAACCCCTGCGGCTACCTGATACTTCCAGGAAACCTTGTTGGTCTACTTTCTCTTCATATTTTGAATGTCCAGGTTCTTACCACCATTTATCTTGTTTTGTCTCTGGGAATTTGCCCTTTCATTTTGTTTTGCCTCGGGTTGTTGCATTGTTGCCCTGTTCAGCTTGAATCTGTTATTGAGAATTCTTACTTTCCCAACGTTCTTTGTCAGTTCTTTGATTTCCTTTGTTTTGGTGGTAATTTCCTTCGGGGAGTTTTGCTACAAAGTAAGGTTGTGTATCTGTTGTAAATGATGCATAATTTACGGTTAGTTTCCATTTTGTTTCTCGCTCCGTAAATTCGAAAGTATACATGAATACTTCTCAGTTTTCATTTGGGAAGAAATCCTAGGTTTGCAGATTGATTGATAATGAAGGTAAACACACAATATTGTCAAAATTAGAAGACTATAACAGTTCGTTTGATATTATCAACTGTGCTTATATTTTTCGTAACTGCAGTGGGAGAAATTATGGCTAGCTTTCGATAAGTTGATCTCTTTTTTACTCTCGAGAGTTCAAGCTCTAAGGCTCATATTTTTCATGCCTTAGAAAATTAATAACTAGAAGTTTTCATATAAATTCTTCTTTTTTACCTTCTTAGTTTATTTCTTAAACACCGTGCTTTTACCTGCGAACGAGATTGGGTTGACGCACACAAGGACTATGAGTTCTTTGAGCTTTTGGCGTCTCTTCGATTATATAACAGATGATGATTCCTTTGTCGTGGGAGGGATAATTCTGTTTACATTCATCAATCGCTCTTCATTCCGTAGTTTTGTGATTAAATCAAGCGTTGCTGCTTGCTAATACCTCCAGGAACGACACTCTTTAGATAATCATCGGAGGGTGGAGTGATTCGAGTTCACAATGGAGCAGTATGAAATTCTAGAACAGATTGGCAAAGGTTCCTTCGGTTCTGCTCTGCTTGTGAGGCACAAGCATGAAAGGAAAAAGTGAGGATGATTCCAAACTCTGTTCAAATCTAATGTTAGATATCCTTTTACAGGTTAAATTGTTGAGTAATATACAAGAAGTTATGTATTTTTTTATTTTTTTGTTTATTTCATTGTCTCCATTTAAGGTATGTCCTCAAGAAGATCCGCCTTGCCCGTCAAACTGATAGAACCCGTAGATCTGCCCACCAGGAGGTACTCTACTTGCCCTCCTATTGCCCCACTGTTACCTCAGATTTTGGCTTCCCTCTTTCTGTTGGGGCTTGATTAGTAATGATACATTGTATTTCAGGATACAAAATAAAAGATTTAGTCCAGTCCGTTTTATATAATAAAAAATAGATACATGCTCACAGCTCAGATGTATCCTAAGTGTTGTTCATTTAGTCAATATCGTATTAAACTGATTGTCATTTTTCTCCTCATTGGTTTATGCTCTATTCAGATTCTGGATTACTACTCCACTTTATCAATTTGTAAGATGCTTTGGTGGTTTTTGTGTTTTGCAGATGGAGCTTATCTCTAGAGTTCGAAATCCCTTTATAGTTGAATATAAAGATTCCTGGGTTGAAAAGGTCAGCCTATTATTAATATTAATTATTTTCTAAATTAGAACTTTCTAATTCTGTTGCTTCATTCCTGCTTTTGTTTGGTTTACTTTCCATGAGAGCTTAGAGTTTAAGTTTTGGTTTATGTTGATCCGAACAACTTCTTTTGGATTTTGAAATTTTAAAAGTTTGCTTTTCTCTTCTTTGTTTTTGAATGTTTACATCTTTTCTTAATAATGTTGACATTTATAGTGGGAAGTCCTTTTGCAATTCATTGTAAGGTGGCCTAAATCATGTAATTAATTTATGATTCTGAAATTGATAAGTTGGTGTCTTCACTTGCAGGGTTGTTTCGTCTGCATTGTCATTGGCTATTGTGAAGGTGGAGACATGTAAGTTATGATTTACATTCAATTCAAGTCTGGGAAGTCAGAACATTGTGTTCGACATGTTTAGCTTGTTCTCGCTGCTTTTGTAATCCTCCTATGATTTGTCTCTGTGGTACAGGGCAGAAGCTATTAAGAAGGCTAATGGTGTTCATTTTTCAGAAGAGGTTGGTCATTGTTGAAGCGAGCCCTTCAACTTCTGAGCCTCATTCATAGTTTTCACTTGTCTACTCTGATTTGGATACTTTAGCAAGTTGCTAATATTTACTTACCTCTGCATACAGAAACTTTGTAAATGGCTTGTTCAACTCTTGATGGCACTTGATTACTTGCATGCAAACCATGTCCTTCATCGTGATGTCAAGGTAAATGACTTCTATAATTTAATAATTATGGATGTCATGCAGCTAGGACATATGAGAACTTTGAGGACCAACAAATTTTTATGTTTTCCCACATTTTCAGTGTTCTAATATATTCTTGACGAAAGATCAAGACATACGACTAGGTAATGACTTGCCTTAATCCTTCTCGTATTGCTCATAGACTTCATGAATGGGTTAAGACATCCCTCTGTCTTCTTTTTTAGTGTATAGTTCTTATGCTATGCATGTTGAATGCAGGTGATTTTGGTCTGGCAAAATTACTAACATCTGATGATCTTGCTTCCTCTGTGAGTGACGTTGTCTGGATATTGATTTCATTTACTGTTTGTGTTTTTTAAACTGATTAATAACTCTATGCTCTTGCTTCAAACTAAGGTTGTTGGGACTCCGAGTTACATGTGTCCCGAGCTTCTTGCTGATATACCCTATGGTTCAAAGTCAGATATCTGGTCTTTGGGTAGGATAGATTTCTACTTTACTCTCAAACTTATCTAAGGTCTAACTGCATTTTTGTTCTCTTCTACTGTATCCTGAGTGCCCTTGATATTGGATGTAATTCATAACTTCTGCCAGGATGCTGTGTATATGAAATGTCTGCCCACAAGCCAGCCTTCAAAGCTTTTGTAAGTTACTATCTAAAATTGAAATTCATTAGCAATTCTTTTATGATTTGCAGTTCTCTGTTCTCTTTCTCTCAGCTTGAGTTTTAGGATTTTGGTGGGGATACTGTCATTCATTTGACGCGCTGAATATCTTATTGGATCTTGAATGTCCATAATGATGTTTGAGCTATTTCATACCTGAAAAACATTTTGCATCTTATTCACTAAATATCAAGGTGGCCTATTGAATTTTATCTTTTCACACTTCTAAGGTTTACTATAACATCAAAGCATTGACGTGGAGGCACAGCATTTAAAGGGAGAAAATGGGGGGAGGGTTGACTTTTCTGTAGTTTTGTCATCTTCATTATGCTCACTTGACAACAATGTAGTTAGGTGTTGTTTAAATTCTTTTGAATTACTAAAATAGGATTGGAAATTATATTATGGAGCAATTTTAGTATCAGGGTATATTGTCAATCAATATACATTTTAATGCAGTCTGTTATCTTTTGTTTAATCAGGATATGCAAGCGTTGATTAACAAAATAAACAAGTCAATTGTGGCTCCTCTGCCAACCATGTATTCTAGTGCTTTGTGAGTTCTCTCTGTCTCAAGAATTTTGAGTACCTTGATAATTTCTCTCGTCTTTCTTCTGTTTTTGCTATTGTATTAGTACCTATATTTACAGAACTTTAATGGTATCAATGCCTGCTCTAGGCGACCGCACATGTTATTGGTCAAACTGAAAATCACCCTTCTACGCACTTATTTATTTTTTTTATAAGTCCTGTTATTACATTCACATTCTATATCGTTGATATGATTGATCGACTTCCAAATTGTTGAGGAATTAGAATTTCAAGTGCTTTATGTCATTCAAAGACTGGTCAACAGCTTTAATTATGCACAATCCTCATAATGTTACTATTCACAACCGAGATATACTTGACAGTGATTATTCTGGTTTAGCAGTAAGCAATCCTGTCTTGTTTAGCTCTTGTATAGCTCCTGATCTACAATCTTGGTGTCGACTCTCATTCTTTATGTCTCCAGAGTTTCATATTATTTTTCCTATTCACTTGTTGACGTCATTGATTTGCGTATCTTGTGAATAACACACGTCTCCTTTCAGTCGAGGGCTTGTCAAAAGTATGCTGCGGAAAAATCCAGAGCTTAGACCAAGTGTATGTTTTCTCTCTGCAGTATCTGGTGGTTAACTTTTTTTTTTTTGGTGACATAACGGTGGGCAAAGCCCAAAAATCTGGTGGTTAACTTTGTTTTGATCTATTTGCTCAAAACTAATTATATGGAGTTTGTTGTGTCAGGCTTCAGAGTTGCTAAATCATCCGCATCTTCAGCCCTACATTCTTAAAATTCACCTAAAACTAAACAGCCCCAGAAGAAGTACTTTTCCATTCCAGTGGCCTGAATCAAACTATGTAAGGAGAACTCGGTTTGTGGAGCCAGATTCTGTTTCTACCCTTTCTGATAGGGATAAACACTTGTCGTTTAGCAATGACAGGGCCTTGAATCCTAGTATCTCTGGAACTGAGAAAGATTCTCAGTGTTCTACTCAAAATGGTAATGGATTTGCCTCTCGTTCAAGGGAGAAACTCTGTGAACTAACCATTGGTTGTGTCCGCGAAGAATACATAGCTAACAAGTCAAAAGCCACAAAGTTCTCAACTGTTGACGGTAATACTCCAAGATTAAGAACAGCTAAGGATTCTGCCACCCCGAGAAGGCAGACAACCCCATCAAAAATATTTCATACTGGTTCAAAGCGTGATTCAGTAAGTTTGTATACTCTGCGGTTCTCGTAAGCTCCATTTCATAATGACATACTTCCTCTGGTTTTTGTTATAGCACACTTTCAACTGTTTCACTTGTATTAAGAAAGTTAGTTTTTTTTTTTTAATATCATAAAAAGGTGAGATGTACTTTTATTTTTATCCTTGACTTTAAATAATAATACAATTATATTAAATACTTTTACGTTAATTAAGAAGGGGTAAAATTGAAAAGTGGTTTAATTATTACAAAGTATCTTATATTGTGGATCAAAAATTATTTTTAGGTGTTTTATAAAAAGAACCGGATAGAGCATGTTGTGAAGATGTTTTTATTGAGAAAATTGAGTTGGGAGTTTTTCCATATGATGTTAGAATCTATCATATTTGAATATCATACAACCTGACTCTTGTCTGTCAACAAGAAGCTGCACATTAAGTAACATGTTTGCTGATCTTTTCAGCTTCCGGTGTCTCATACTCCGGCAGGAAATTCTTCCCCACCATCACGTAGAGCATCGCTTCCACTGCGCCTGCCTACAAGAGTCATGACCACAGAAACCTCTTATAGAGCGAAAGTTGGCCTCCTCCAGAGTGTGGAGTCTCCAGACATTTCTGTTAATGCTCCACGAATTGACAAGATAGCTGAATTCCCTCTTGCATCTTCTGAGGATGCTATCTTCGCTGTCCCCAAGTCATCAACATCTGCCATGTGCTCTTCTAGTTCACCAGTGGGTGCTGTTTGCTCAATCACAAAGGACAAATGCACTGTCCAGGTTGTGGACAAAGCCATGGCAGCCCCTCCCAGCGTGAGTGATACTTGTCCTGAAGCTTCAGGTCCAGGATATGCAAGTGAATGCTCTGAGCGTGTCACGGCTGACGTTTCAAGTCGTTCATCAGCAGAGTCACGACAGCACCGGTTTGACACCTCATCTTACCAGCAACGTGCTGAGGCATTGGAGGGGTTGCTTGAGTTCAGTGCAAGACTCCTGCAACAACAGAGATTTGAAGAACTTGGAGTGTTGTTGAAGCCATTTGGACCTGAGAAGGTTTCTCCAAGAGAAACAGCCATTTGGTTGACGAAGAGTTTTAAAGAAACTCTGGTCTAGCCTATGGTCTGATGCACTTGCGATCAATCTATTTGATGGTGTACGTTAACATAGTTGCTTGCGGAATTTTAACTGACTAGCTTTCGACTTAAGAGCTACCAACTGAATCTTAAAATTCCTTACCATTTTTCAGATAGTCTAATGTTAGATCATGTGTAATTTGATATGTTGGAGTTGTGTCCCCCACCCCCCCTCAAAAAAAAAAAACAAAAACAAAAACAAAAACAAAAACAAAAAAAGTTGTTCCCCCCCCCCCCAAAAAAACAAAAAACAAAAAAAAAAATAAAAGAATGAAGCCTTGCATGACTCAAATTTGAGGAAGTCTAATGTATATATACTAAGATGCAAGTAAATGAGTTAAAAAGAGAAATATTTTTCCGCACGTAATAATTGGTCAACACAGTTGAGTTCTAACTTGTTTTCCTATCCACAGGTTAGAGGTGGTGTTTGGTATTTTAATCATTATTAATTAATTTTTATTACAATGTTTAAAAATTGGTTTTCCTTAATGGTCATTAAGCCATATTTAATTATATTCAAATTCATTAATAAAAGCTTTTGAGCTTTTATCTTTTTCCTTACAAGTTCTTTCTTTCTTGTTTATATTTTTACTATTCTGTCACTTTGTTTTATTGGAGGCTTCCACTTAATTTTGTGAAAATGTCGACTACTGCCTCAAAATAACTTTTAAGAACAATCTTTTTAAATACAACTTGAAAATGATTCTTAACAGAATTTTTTAACATGACGTGTGTTAAATGTTATGTATTTTGTATTATATTTGAAGCATGATTGTGTTGGGTACTAAATGGGAGTGTCTTAAAGGGATTCAAATTTTGACTCAGCATGTTGCTGGAAGATCAGCCCCTTCCCCCTGGGTATATTTTTTTTAATACACATTTTTTTCCTGAAATTTGTATTCTGAGTTCTGGCTTCTGACCCAGTTATAACGAGATGAAAGAAATCTTTGGGTTGTCCAAATTTAAACCCAAGAAGCCTCAACGATTTAAATCGCAGGCTGTTTTGTCAACGGAGGCCCATTATCATCTTGCTGTCCTGTCTTTTATTATTCTTCCTCCAACGGTAAGATCAATCAAGCAGAAGGCAGAGAGATCAGAGATGGAAGAAGCAGAGATACTAGAAATATACGAGCTCGGCTATGCGGACCTCGTTCTCTTGTCTTCAAGCAATGCTTCATCGACTTCACCTGAGGAGCGTGACAAAGTCGAGTCAATGGCGAAAACCATAATGGAAACCCTAGGGCCAATGGGTCCAGGCCTCCTAGCAGTCACTGGTGTTCCCGGAGCGTCCAAACTACGTAAGGAGTTTCTACCACTTGCACGGGAGCTCGCGCTTCTTGACCATGAAAGCCGTAAACGCATTCTTAAGGTAGCTCCTGTGATTAGTTTCATGACTTCCATCCTTTTCCTTCATATATATTTCAATTTTCTACAATTTTAAGTTTATGATTTCTCACTACCATTTGCAATACTCACGTACAGCGCGATCTAGGGTATGTGATTTGAATTGTTTTCTTACGTGAGAACTCCCTTGTTCTGGTTTGTTGACAGCTTTGCAAAATGGAAGGGTTTTGTATCAAATCTTCTCTTCTGCTTATTAATTTCCCTTGCAATCATAGATGAAAGTTTTCGTTTTATTCTTTGAGTTGCATTTTCTTATATTAGAATCTTATGAAGCATATCGGATGCTAAAATTTGATTGAGTTTTAGCTTTTATTTTAGAATCGTAAAATCTTGGAAATCTAACTCGAATGTGGTCGTATCTTAAAAAAAGTAGTTCCGTATTTGTTTTGGGGAACTTAGATGCCTCATTGAATATAATTTTCTTTTCACGTTTTTGTTATATGCTTATGTCTTGAACTGCGACGATGTAAGCTTTTGAGCATGTCTGACCAAGTGTAATGGTTATCGTTAGTTTCATTGTTTGCTTAAAATTTCTCTGTACAAACTCAATCTGGTTTGTATTCAATTTTGTAGGCGTTCTCATTGTACTTCCATGCTTTTCTAGGAGCACAGCTTGGGCAGTGATGTTCCTTTAAAAAATCCAGATAGGAGCGTGTCCTCTTTTGCTATGCAACTGAAATATGCAAAAGATACAGTAGTGACTGAAAGTAAACCAAGTAGAGGAGCAGATTACGAATTACATTCTGAAGAGAATCATTATGAGGATGATCAGATCATGACAGAATGTCACGATATGAAATTTAAGAATTTAGGGAGTATTTTCAAAGAGTTGGGATTTTGCATGATTGAGCTGGGGCTTCGCCTTGCTCAAATATGTGACAGGGCCATTGGGGGCTATGAGTTAGAGAAGAGCCTCTTAGAATCATGTGCAGCTAAGGGGCGTCTTATACACTATCATTCAGTTCTAGATGGACTCCTTCTTAAAGAACTTGAGAGGCGCAAGAGAACTGGCAAGAGGGAGGGTAATATCAAAAGGGATCAGGAGTACACATATACGAAAAAGGGCCAGAGACAATTAAAAGGATTAAAGTTAAATTCAAGTGTCTGTGATGCTAATTCATGTGGGATTCATTCTAATCTGTGGCAGCAATGGCATTATGATTATGGTATATTCACTGTTCTGACAGCTCCCTTCTTTCTTATGCCATCTTGTTCGCTGACAACCAAAACAGAAGAGCCATATTCTGCATCTTGTAATGAAGAATTTCCTTCGCCAACGGGGCATACGTCTTTGCAGATATATGATCCAAATAAGAATAGAGTGTTTATGGTAAAGGCTCCACCAGAGAGTTTTATTATTCAAGTTGGGGAATCCGCTGATATCATTTCAAAAGGAAAGCTTCGCTCAACCTTGCACTCCGTATATAGACCTTCAAAATCCGAAAATTTAAGCAGAGAAATGTTTGTTGTATTTCTGCAGCCCGCATGGAATAAAACATTCTCTACCTCGGACTATCCTCAGACAAACACGATGTCTAATGCTCGATGTTTGTTGGCATCTGATGATGAACCACAGTTTGGGCAGGAAAAAAGTACACTGTGTGACGAAATTCAGAGAACAGTTCCACCACTTTCTTCAAGGTTGCAGGATGGGATGACTTTTGCTGAGTTCTCGCGAGAAACAACAAAGCAATATTATGGGGGCAGCGGATTGCAATCTCACAGATAACTATATTCTGATAATCCTCCTTTTGTAACTTCAATGTGTACCTTGTCAATCAATTGATTCGCTCTAATTCACCCAACCTATAGTGTATTTCAATACTTTTTCTTGGGGAGGGTGTTTGGGGGTGAGGGGTGAAATCATGTAATTGATTTGTGTTGTTAGTTGCTATTTAAAGAATTCTTCTTTTTTCCTAATTTCGATATATCTTTTTAGTATTTGAGTTTGACAGTTTGCGTTGTGGTTTGAGTGAGAGAGATGCTCTCGGTACTTTAAACCTAAACCATAGAGTAATGATTTGGGGAGCGGCTGGTAAGTGGCATCTCTACAGGGGGGAATTTTTTCAGGAGTCATTTGAGCGGCTGGGACTACAGTACTTCATGTTCATACATTCGAGTCTGATTTTTTATTCCCTTAATTTCTGCATCGGAATTCAAGCACCACCCAACCTTAACCTTGACCACTGAACATTAATAAAACAATTTTTCTTCATGGAGTTGGGGCTTAGGGAATGAAAGTCACAGTTCATGCTTTTCTTTTTCCCTTCCTTCTCCCTTTCGGCGTCCTCCATGCTTATTTTGGCCTGGTTCTTGTCTTGGCATTGACATTTTAAAAAAAAAAAAAATTGGAAAGAGGGCCGAACCACTTTCGCCAATTGAACCTGCAATTATCCACACACCTAGGGAGGATCTTTGCCACTAGAACAATGCATCAAGTACGACATGGTTCTGAAATTGTCAATCTGCATACATCAAATCGAGGAACCTTTCTTTTGTTTTTTTTTTCCAAAAGAATAAGGAGGATACAATAAGACACCCTGTAAAAAAGAGTGTGTGTGAGTAACATTAACTTCAGTACACGTCAGACATTTAAGGCATGCAGCTAGGAGTGGGAGAATCCCAAATCTTAAAGTTAACGTGCATATCATTGGTTTCATAAACTAACTAGTTAGCACAAGTTTTGACTTCCCTGAAAATATGTTGGGATATAATAGACCGATCAAGTATCATAACTTCTTTTATCTTATTGATTCAAAGACAATTTTTTAAATGCTCTTTGTAATGATAATGACTTGCATCTTGTTCCATCCAAAGAACTCTAATGGTCCCTAACCTAACGTAACTTGTGTTTGGGAATCTGTTTTGAGACCCTCTGGACATACATTTTCTCTCATGCAACAATTTGGTTGGCATGGGAAAACGTTTTAGACCACCAAAGTGTGAAAAAGGATTTTTCCCTACACACATCATTATATCCTTTCATATAAATAGAAAAAATGACAATAAAATCCTTTTAAATTATATTTTGATCCCTTGAAATATTATAATTTTACTAAATTTTTTCAAGACATTTCTATTATTAATAAATTTATATAAATAATCAAATTATTCTTATTGAAAATAAAATGATTACAATTTTTTTTAAATAATCACAACTTTTTTTTCCTTATATTTTCAACAATATAGCAACAAATTACAATTTCTTATGTCAAATTCATGATATTAGTACAAGTATTGAAAATAATAAGTAATGCTCGTAAGTTTTGTTTAAATAATCATAGCTTTATTTTTTATATTCATAAAAATATAACAACAAATCACAACTTTACATATCAAAATCTCGATATTGCTACAAAGGCAATTTGGTTATTTAAATAAATTAATTAATGACAGAAAATTTTTTAAAACTTTCAATGAAATTATAGCATCTCAAAAGAGGCTTGTTTGAAATCTATTTTGATAACAGTTTGTTGTTCTTTTGAATAAAAAAACAAAAGAATGTGTTTGATAATGTGTTTAAGAAAACAAAAAAAATATTATTATGGAGAATAAAAAAATAAAAATAATTTTTAAGTGTTCTGAAATTATTATTCTGAAAAATAAAGGAGAATGAGAACAATAAAATAAAAATAATTTTAAATAATTTTTAAATTATTATTCATACAATTTAAAGATTTTTTTTAATATAAATATCTATCTTTTAATATTTAGTTCAAAAGAGGGGTAAGACAGATCATTCTTGTTTTCTCCCCGAAGCGAGTGGGCATTGTTAGGGGTAGTAAAAGAGCACCGGGCGAAACACACAGGCATAAGAAAAGAAACCTATATGCTTTGATATGCTTAGGTGCAATGATGGGGCTTGGCCTTGCTTTCACTTTTCCTAATGGTCCAAAAGGGTTAGGCAGGGTAGCCAAAATTGACTTTTAAAAGAACAGGATCAGAAAAATATTTTTAAAAAATATTTTTGAAATATGATATAAAAAAGAAAATGATAAAAAACATTCTTTAAGGGTGTGTTTGAATTTTAATTAAAAAAAATTAATTAAAAAAATTAATTATTAAAATGTGATGGTGTTTGGATAAAATTTTAAGAATTGATTATGATATTAATTTTTTAAAATGAAATAAATTTCAGCTTATTTTAAATGAAGTTTTGAAAATTAAATGAAGTTTGAAAAAATTGAACTGTTTGAATAAAATTTTTTAAAATTATAATTTTAAACTTTAAATTAATTTTAAAAAAATATTCAAACAGGTCCTAAAATAACAAGAAACTACGAAAGCACATTTGAATAGCAATTGAAGTTAAAGGGGGACTTGGTCATGGAGAAAATGAGGCAAAAGGAATAAAGTTGGTGGCTTTTGTCAGTAATAATGAAGGTGGGAACAAAACACTTTGAAAACACAGAAGTGAAGGCCGTTGCATCTTTTGGCCCATTTGCTTGTTCTCTGTGGAGAATTATGAGGGAGGATTTGAGCTCATGGGGCTGGGTAAACTTTAAAAAGCAGAGGCGATGACGTCTGTAGGCACGCGCATCTTAGCACTTGTCCCCTTCTGGAACTCAGCTTTTGTGTCCAATACTGTGCACAAAACTGGCTCTGCTAAATTTTTGTTTGGACTTGCTAGCATGTCGGCCTTAGACGTTGCCAACTCCTGCTGCATCAAGAAACACCATCACTCCCCCTCTTCTCCAAACCCTAATGCCCTCTGACATATCCCATTGTTGTGTCAGATCTCAGCCTCTGATTCATCCCTGCCACCATTAATGGTCCTCTTCTAGCTTTGCATCCCCGCAAGAGAACCATTTTGTTAATTTAGTGGCCCATCATCACACAGTGTCTCGTCGAATTGTACGTAGTGTACCAGGCTGAAACCAACCTATCTTGGGTGCCTTAATTTTTAAGTCATCTGAAGCTTTCTACGATATCCTTTTCCCCCCAAAAAAAGGGTAGGTATTAACGACATAATGTTCTAATTCATGTTGCAAGATTACTAACAGCTTTAGAATTAGATAGTTCACAGTTGTAACTTAGAACATGAATGTAATAATCTTGCTTCTTTAAGCATATCAAGACAACAGGAGAACAGTTCCTTCATCTACAAAAGCGCCGTGAATTATAACTGCTCGAGGTTTACACCGGTTTGCCTGGCTTGAGCCTAAGCTGGTTTAACGTCGATCAATTTCTAAAATGTTAAGGAAACAGCAGGGATGTCATTACTCGTACCTGTTCTTTCCATGTCTATTCAAAGGAAAGGTGTGATTATTATTTTGCTTTGCTTTTGAGAGCCCTCTTTGAGGCGCCAGCCGTCTGCTGTTATTTTAAATGGTACGCTTGCAGCAGTACCACACCGTCTGTTCACACGAAGTAATATGCCTTGAACACAATCCAGCTTAGATTATATAGCAATTTAATATTGCAATACTGGCACCCAATAAATTTCCAAAAAAAAAAATTGTTGTTGGGTTAGTGTCTTCTTCGCGATTCAGTCCATTGTTGTTCAAGATCTTCTTTGGTCTCTTTGGGGATGCGGGCATATGCTTTGTTTGTTTTTAACTTTATGACGTTGTACCCCTAGGCCCCAGTACAGTCTAGCGAATTGTATACTTTTATCACAAATGATAAGAATCGAGTCATGACCATGGCTCCATAATGATAGTTCAATCAATTACTAAAAGCTCCCTGCTAACCCAAAAATAAATCCACAAATCAATATCTGAGTCACTAGGTTACAAAATTCCCCCTATGCCCTCTGTTCTCTGTAGGGTGAAGGCAGAAAAGAGTACTTGGCCACATGGCGTTTGACCATTCTTAGATCACTCAACTTTTGTCATTTTTCTGGTCACATTTTACGCTAAAGGACATCAGCATTCAAACACACTCTACTCCTTCTCCCTCAAAGATCATTCCCACCACGCACACATATATATCCTCTAGGCCATGCCCTCCTCGACATTGAATATCACTCCCCCGAATAGTTCACATCCCTGTCATGGAACCCAGGTTCTCAATCAATCCTCGCCGCCCGGAATATTTTCCGACCGGTGGAACCCATTTGCCGGAGAGCCCACGAGTGCCAATGGAGTTTCTGTCGAGGTCATGGAGTGCCTCTGCTTTTGAGGTCTCCAAAGCTCTGGCTCCTCCACCTGCTCCTCCTCCTTCTGGCAATGTGGCTTCCAAGCCTGCGAATGGGTCATCCTGTGGTGCTAGCTCTATTCCTGAAGACACTGGTGGCGAGTCTGAGGAGCTATCATTCATACCTCGGAATCAGTTTTCTTTCGCCTCCTCTGCCACTTCACAGCTCGTGCTTGAGCGCATTATGTCACAGTCCGTGAGAGAGGTGTTCACTTAGCTCTAACTCTCTGAACATTTTAATTCTCTGTTTTGTTCTGGAGAAAGTAACTTAAGAAGCCAAAGCATATTTCACCAAGTATTTCTCATTCGAAAGCAAAGGAAGGGAGTAGTCTGACAGAGCAGAAATCTTCGTCACACTGTTATTCTTTAATCCATTTGAATGACAAAAATGTCTATCATTTGACCTGATTTATATATTTTTCCTCATATCATCACATGGGTTTTAAGTTTGCGCCTGATGAATATGACAGGAAGTGTCGCCATTAACGTCAGGGAGACTCTCCCACAGCAGCGAACCTATGAACGGTGGTGGTTCGTTAACCGGAACAGATAGCCCACCAATTTCTCCGTCCGATGAATTTGACGACGTCGTTAAGGTATCTGTTTAACACTTTTTCTTCTTTTGGTGGGAGGAAGTAGCGAACAGTGTTTTCTCGTGAGTGTAGTAGTGATTTTAGTAATGTATTGGACTTTTCTGACTCCCGCCAACTTCGCTGTTTTTCATGCTCTGTTTTTGCTCCTCGGGCTACTGCGGCTATTTCTTTTTTTCTCAAGTGTGGAAAAGAAATGAAAAATGAAAAATAGAACAATGTTTGCTTTTGTCAGTTTTTCAGGAAAGCTTTCCTTATTCTGCTAAAGGAATTTTTAAGGTGTCTTATCGATCAAGGAACTATCTTAAAAAGCCACCGAAAGAAAACGATGAAAATGTAAAAAATTTGTGGGTGAAAAAACAAGAAAAGAAGGCAGCTTGAGGGGTCATGACTGTATATCCCTTACTCAATATAAAATATTTTTTAAAAAATTATATGTTATTTTTAAAATGTAATTATTGTTTTTTTAAATACCTCTATTAATAAATAATTTTATATTTATTGTAAGATATTTAATATAAATAAATATAAAAAATAAGATTAATTTAAAAGTATATAATTATTTTATTAAAAATAAAATTTAATTAAAAATATTTTATATTTTTTTAACGGAGTATTTTAGTATCCTCTCCCATCCCTGTGTGGAATAATGGTCTACTCTAATATCTACCGAACTAGATTTAGTCAGTGTTGTGTTCACTCATTCGAAAGCGATCAACTTTTGAAGTGTAAAGAGGTCCCCAAGCTCCACTAAAGTGAGGAATAATGTTAGTTCTCATGAAATAAGTGTGAAAAGAGGGTAAAGGGAAGGAAACCAGAGTTGTGAAGTGGGTTAGTTTGAAAACCACTAAGTCAGTTAAGAAAACCAAAAGAAAATATTCGTTTGAAGATGACAATGCTGATGAAGTAAGTGGGTAGTCACGAGCTACACCAGATCAAAGGTCTAGTCATTCATGTCATCCACTTGCCGTCAAACTCCCTGACTGCTAATTCAAACGCGACATTGACAGACTTTACTGTTTCCTCTCTCACCGGATTCAAGTAAACAGTGATGTTATTCTGGGCTTTTGGCTTTTGCCTGAGAGCAAACAAATTATCCAATAGGGTGACTGGTCAGTGTCGCGAAGGCAGAGGAAGTGGCACAAGCAGAATTTACAAATTTACAGTATTCTTATATACAATTATATATCTCTGATACTTGTTTCTTCTTTTTTCTTTGCTGTATGGAACATGGAAAAGAACTAATCGATGGACAAGATTGCCCGCAGTTCTCCGACGTAATAATTAAAGCAATTAAAATAATGCCAATCATCGATCAAAAAGACAACTTCGCAGTGATTTGGTTTGGCCTAGTAGAATCCAAGGAAAATATTGTTTGTTTAGATTGGTTCTCAAAAAAAGATGCATGCATGTGTTGCAACAGTTTTTCCGCTCCAACAATTCCATACACCCGTTGTTCAATGGCGGACGAGGCGGCGGCACGATAGGTAACGGGACCCCCAGCACAGGACCCAAAACAGTTGGGAGATGGTTGAAAGAGCGAAGAGAGAAGAAAAAAGAAGAGAGCAGAAGCCACAATGCTCAGCTACACGCCGCCGTTTCGGTGGCAGCGGTGGCGTCAGCTGTGGCAGCCATAGCAGCGGCAACGGCAGCTTCATCTGCACCCAGCAAAGATGAGAAGATAGCCAAAACAGACATGGCTGTGGCATCCGCGGCCACATTAGTTGCAGCACAATGTGTGGAGGCTGCCGAATCAATGGGAGCTGAGAGAGACCACCTTGCTTCGGTGGTCAGTTCAGCCGTGAATGTTCGTTCTCACGATGATATTACCACTCTTACGGCAGCCGCCGCTACAGGTAGGCCAATGAAAATGATGAAACATACATGCATCTATTATTCATATAAATGATGTATAACTGGGAGGAGCGTGGATATTTATATGCAGCTCTGCGAGGGGCGGCGACGTTGAAAGCAAGAGCACTGAAGGAAGTGTGGAATATTGCAGCGGTGACGCCGTTGGAAAGAGGCGTCGGACTCGGGATATGTGGAAAAGGTGGCCACAACAACAATACCAGTAACAACAGCACCAGTGATAGTGGAGAAATTGTCAATGTAGACAATTTTCTGGGTGCCTGCAGTCAAGAACTGCTCGCTAGAGGCACCGAACTCCTCAAACGCACCCGTAAAGGTTATATCACTTTGCTCCTTTTCTTACCCCAACACTGCCTTTATTCTCTCATTTATAATAATTTGGATTAACTAAAACAGCATCTTCTTGGTAAATGCAGGTGATCTTCACTGGAAAATTGTCTCTGTTTATATACATCGAACAGGGCAGGTGATGCTGAAAATGAAGAGTAAACATGTCGCAGGGACCATTACTAAAAAGAAGAAGAGTAAGCTGCCATTTAAACTCCTAGTTCCTAGTACCGTGTTGATTGTGAAGAGGAATAGCGTGACCATATAAATCACAAGTTGTAACTCATGGTTTTGATATTGCAGATGTAGTACTAGATGTGTGCACGGATGTACCGTCATGGCCAGGAAGGCATTTGTTTGATGGGGGAGAACAACGACGGTACTTTGGGTTGAAGACAGAATGCAGGGGAATCGTGGAGTTTGAGTGCAAGAATCAGAGGGAGTATGATGTCTGGACTCAGGGAGTTTCAAGGCTTCTATCTATTGTTGCAGAAGGTAAAAATAGCAGCGGAAACTGAGCTCTATCAAGTACCCCAAACAAAACCAAGCCTGGAGCTGGTCTAAATATTTGTACCCAGCTGAATGTTGCATTTTTTTTTTTGTTTTGTTTTTCAATCTGAGACATTCGGGGATGCTAAGGCACAATTTGTAGAAAAGTAGGGATGTTTTGTTGGCTAGAAGGAATGTCTTAATTCCCCTGAAGCTTAAGAATTATGTCCAATGAAATGGTCGTCTTTTCAGTGTCCCCATGCCTTATCTCAGATATTGGTCAGACGAAAAAAACTAAAAGTCAATATGGTATTTCGTCTCCACCTTCTCAGGGAGGTAATTACAACACTAAGTTAGATTGCATAAATGTCATCGAAATGTAAACACTGCAGTGTGACACACTAGCATGCAACCAGACCATACAGGAGTGAAATTATACGCTCTGTTTAGTTTGCCGAAATGAAAATAAACAAGTTGGACAAAGGAAAGCCCTTTCGCGAGATTGCATATCCGCTTAGTGGAAAGGAAATGCCCGCATCCGCATTGGAAAAGCAAGGAATGCCAACTCACAAAATGAGCGATGTCTTGCTTAAAGCCTTGAGCGCCTCATATAGTCGACACATTCTAAGTCAATCCATGAATGCAAGGCATCTGGTCATATTCAACGCAGAAACCAAAACACAAGTGGGACTAACAGTTTCAAGGTTGCCTCTTAGAGAAGTTACGAGGTTTCAGGGCTAACAATCCTTAGCTGAAACCCCCATCGGAATTCAGTTAACAAAATGGCCATACACAACAAAAGGAACTGACGTATGCCTGGAAAAATAATACATGCAATTGAATCAGAGCAGCCTCCTAACAAGGTTGGAAAATTTACTCCCTCGACTTGCAATATACGAACATATTATTGCGAAAGCAAGAGGAAAGAGATTCCTGAAATGTATATACAATTCTGTTTCAACAACTATTTACCACTGTAGACAAGACTTTTTTTTGTTTGATACGTTCTCCCTAGGGACACGCGAGAGTACAAGCACATCCATTTATTAATTGACATGACTTTCTTTAAAGACGAACACCGATCTCTTAACAAGAAGATTATTAGAAGGAATACGTGTAACAATGATATCTTTCAACTATCAGCCGCTCTGAAAATAGTAAGCAGAGAGAGGAAGAGGTTGATGATGTCCAGGTATAATGACACTGCAGCCCAGATATACTCATCATACGAGTACCTTTTAATCAGGTTGTCCGTATCATATACAATGTAACCACAAAATATAATGGCTGCCAGACACCCATAGACCATCACTGATATCTTACCCAGTGGAAAGAGAATCTGCAAGAGAAGGAGCGTGTTACTAAACTAAATCCCAGCATACATTAAAGAGGCTGTCATATTTCGAGACCACAGTACCTGAATCAGAGCAAAGACCATTAGAACTATCAGAGCACCAAACAAAAAGGGGCCAAGGAAGTTGAAATCTTGGCCTCTCCTAGCAGCCCAAAAAGTGTAAAAGGTCAAGCTGAGAACAACCACTGCAGTTAATATGACCGCTTCAAGAATAACCTTCCCTGTCTCCAGTCATTTGAGGGAAGACAAAATTAACAAGGAAAATTGGCATTTTGGCTAAAACTTGAGAAACAAAAATTCATTACATACAATCACAATGCAACATGACAATATCCATATCCATTACCCACGTGTTTACAATGAAGAAATCATCATTGTGATAGAAACTAATAAAATTCAAATATCATCTTCACTATTATTTAATAAAAGGAGTAACAAATAGAAGAGAGACATGTACATTACGTTCAGAGTATTGAATTCTAAGGACTAAAAGAGGTGAAAAGGGGGGAAGTAATAAATCACATTGATGAACTCATCCAATCACGCATCAGCGTGCAGAAGCTGATACGTAACTAAAGTCAACCTCAGAGCTATTGCACATGATATAAACCTTCCAAACTATAGAACACCAAAGGGATCTTCCAATCCGGGTGGCACATAACACAAGTAGTGTGTCCCAAAATCCCATTCCAATTTAAGAGTAACCCTAAAATAAGAGTCACATGTTCTCATATCCGAATTCAGATAATAGGAATATTAAAGAACAGAAAAGAATCGCATATCAAGCATGGAAATTCCAGAGGCTCTAAACTTACACAAGCAGCGGATCACTCCACAAACCATATGCCAGTCCTAGGGTTTTGTGATCGAAAAAATATTTTTATTGTGGTAAAAGACTTAACTTAGCAACATGTACGAATGAATATGATATTATTAACAAATTAATAGCTCGGCAAATCTCTTCGGCCTTCAAATCGCGGAGCATCAAACGAGAGAAAGAAAGAAAGAAAATGATTGCTCAATCTTACCGCTGGTGAAGGCGCACGTTAACCCAACAGCAAAAGCCAGAGAAATCGTGAAAATTCCAAGAAGCACGTAATTTACCGGGTGCTTCTGGTGGTAATAGAATAGGGGGCATAAGACTGCAATGATTGGACAAAGACAGTGCTTAGACAAATTCCAGACTGACCGCATGACAATAATGTGGGGGGGAAGGTACGAAAATGAAAAATTGGGCATGAAAATGGAAAGAACAGAATCAAGAACATACCGATAAAAGGGGTAATGATGAGGATGATGTAGAGAGCCAAGCCACCGCTGGTAGAGACGAAGAAGTGGGCAATGGGATGGACGGTGACAACGACGGAGGCAACAGCGATTGTGGCGAGCAACTGGATGGTTATAATTGAGTAGACTTTGCGGATGAACGACCAGCGGAGTTCGGGGCTTTCGAGCATCATGGGATAGAGAGGCCTTACTCCTCCGGCCTCCACATCGGTCTTCCAGTTGGGTTGATTCCACATCGTCGTTGGGTGAATGAAGCTTTTCTTTGCTTTTGCTCGTCCGATGGATCTTCTAAGTTCTAAAGGTGAAGGGCGGGAAACCCCGAAAGTTGAGGATGGAAAGATTAGGGCTTTCACGGTTTCTCTTCTTTCACGGTTTCTCTTCTGTTGTGCCGAATACCAGACGTGGAAATGATATTAGAACCGTCAAGGTAGTTTTTTTCATAAGCCGCGGTTTAGGAATGCGGCACAGAGACTTCGCGAGACGTCCGCGCTATTCGCGAAATTATCCCCAATTAATTAATTTACTTAATAATAAGTTAATTTCTTGATCTTTTCTTCCACTCCCTCCGGCTTACTGCTCCAATCCTATTTATAAAACAATATTTAAAAATAATTTTTAATTTAAAATATAAGACACATTATAATAATTAAATTATTTTTTTAATTTTATTTTTTAATTAGTGTGAATGTATTTAATATAATTATATTATTATTCAAAATAAAGGGTAAAATTGAAAGTACATTTTACTTTTTTATGATAAAAATTTGATTTTTTTTAAAATGAGTGAAATAGTTAAAAGTATTCTATTATAAGAACCAAAAGGAGTATTTTATTAGGATACAATGTGATGATATTTTTAAATAGGAAAAATAATGATCAAGGATCACTATATTAAATTTATATTAGTTAAAGAGCAATAGTTTTTAAAATCGCACTGCAACCCCTTAATCCTTTATTGATATTAATTTATTACATTAAAAGACCAAATTGCCCTTAAAGGACAAATAAAAAGCTACCCCCATTATCAGTGGTTGCTAGATCCATACTAACGTTGAGGTGGCAAGAGCCCCTAAGCCCCTCACCATCGGTAAGGTAACTGGCTTCTGATCATTAGAGTTTTGGTGCTGACAATATTTTTATTCAAGAATAATTAATTAAGGTAGCCAAGTGAGAGTTTGATCCCATGATCCTTTGACTATTTAAAAAACTTGGTGATTTTTAGGCCAACAAGCTCTTTAATTATATATAAAAAAAAAAGTAGTAGTCTAGCTTCTAATCATTTTGTTATAACATAATTGTGGGTTGTTAATTCCTGAATGTCACTTGTTATTTTACTAATGTTGTTTATTAATCTGACATAGATAATTATAAATTGAAAGCTTTAAAACTTCATACACTTTACTTGTTAAAAGTTTGAATGTATTGTTGTTAATCACAAATAGGTTGTTGTCAAAACTCAAACAAATACTTATTAATGGAGAACTAACATGTACAATTAAACACATTCTATTAGTTTTTCTAACTTATTAAAACCCGAATAGATTGTTGTTAACTTCGAACAAATTATTGTGAAAACTTAAATGTATACTTGTTGATGAATGACTAACACTTGTATAATTAAGCATTTCTTATCCGTTTTTCTAATTTGTTAAAGCCCAAATAGACTATTGTTAATTTAAAATAAATTTTTGTTAAAACCTAAATGGATACTTGTTAATGAAAGACTAAGGCGTACCATTAAACTCATCTTATCCCTCTTTTTAACTTGTGAAAGCCTGAGTGGACTATTGTTAGCTTAGAATAAGTGGTTCTTAAAACTGAAATCGATACTTATTGGTAAAAGACCATCATCCACAATTATGCCTATCTTATTTATTTTTCTAACTTGTTAAAGCCCAAATGAATAATTTTAAATTTTAAATGAGTTGTTAAAGTTGGAATTGACACTTGATGTTAATGATTAAAAGCACAAGTATAACAAAACAAATATATAAACAACAAACCATTCTAACTTAACAATGGTCTATTCAGGTTTTAACAAGTTAGAAAAATAGATAGAATGGGCATAATTTTATGTGTTAGTCTTTCATCAACAAGTATCTATTTAAATTTTAACAACTCTTATAATTTAACAATAATCCATTAGAGTTTTAACAAGCTAGAAAATCAAATAAAATGGGCTTAATTATACAAGTGTTAGTCTTTCATTTACAAGTATATATTCAGATTTTCACAACAATTTATTTGAAATTAATGACAATCTACTTAGATTTTAACAAGTCAGAAAAGCCAATATAATGTGCTTAATTATATGTGCTAGTTCTTCATCAATAATTACCCTTTCAGGTTTTAACAATAATAATACATTTAGACTTTTAACAAATAAAATGTATGAAGTTTTAAAGCTTTCAATTTATAATTATCCACGTAAAATAAACAAGTGAGATTAATAAAATAGCAAATGTCATTCATGAATTAACAACAAACCGTTATATTATAATATGAAAGTAGTTAAAAACTTGGTTTACTATTTATTTTTTTTTTGTCATGTATAATTAAAGGGTTTAGTGAGTACCAAACTTTTTAGGTAGCTAAGGGATTATGAGATCAAACCCTCCTCCGACCACCTAAGCCAACTATTCTTGTATAAAAATGTTATAAGTGTCGAAACTTTGGTGACTAGTTGCCGCAACTTTGTTGTTGACAAGGGGTCCAATGGTGGTCAAATGGCCAATGTCGAGGATAGTACAAGTGGCCTCTTTTTTTTTTTTACTTTAGGGGCATTTGATTTTTTGACATAATAAATTAATATCAATCAAGGGTCAAGGGACTACAGTGTAATTTTAAAGTCAATTAGTTCTCAACTGATATAAATTTGGTTCTATGGTCCTTGGCCGCTATTTCCCCTTTTAAATAATTAGATGATTTTGTTCTTATTTTAAAGGCTGGTTCATCATCCACATGGTCAGTATAGATTTAATCTAGACTATGTAATTTAATATTAAAATTTGTTATAATTTTATAAATTAACTATTCATATATATTCTAAATAATGTAAATATAATTCAAATGATCTAATTTGATATAAAAGACTATCATAATTTGTATAAATTAATTATTTATATGTATCAGACAATGTATATTTAATATTAATTTTTTTTATAATTTTTAAAAAATTTATTTTAATAACACAGCATTAACAATATTTAAAAATAATTTAAAATTAATGACACATATCATTCCAAGATTAAATGATTCTGATCAACCGGGGGCTTCTTTTACTTCTATGCTATTAACAATTAAAAAAATTACCTAAATGCAGCACCATGAAAAGTATTTACCTAAATACTATATTAGAAATCGTTTAAATCAGGAATGAATTTATATTTGTGAAAAACTCTTTCAAGCCAAGAACAATTTTGCAGTTAAAAATTATTTTTTTTCCAATGAGAAGTGAAATCATTCACTTATGAAATGAGTTTATTTTTTTAACTGACAAGATATAATATTTCTTATTTTACTTTCTCTCAACCTGTTTCACCAAGAGTTGAGTTGACCCATCCATAAATTTTTTAAGATAGACTGAGCAAGTAATGTAGTGGCTAATTGTATATCCAACCTTAAATTGAAAATTTAAATCTAGGGGAACAAGAATATCAAAATTTTAATTAATTTTATTATATGATAATTTCATCATTATCATCACTCCTTTTCACCTCTTTCAGTTCTACTCAATTTGAAGCTCACTACGTGCCACCTCATCATCATCCCTTTTCAACTCACCTGCTTCTACTTAATTTGGATCCTTCATGTCTTTACTTGATGATCCCATGCTATTTCCGTCTGAATACAATACTTTTACTTTTAAACAATCCAAGTAGTGCAGGATCGTTAAATAAATATATGAACAATCCAAATACTTTGACATATAATGAGATTGACTGAAATTTTAAGGCTTTTGTTTCCCTACATTTTCATTTTCAATTGGTGGTTGGGTAGACAAATAGCCACATCACTTGCTTGCTCTATTTTAAAGAATTTGTGAATAAGGCAACCTAACTCTTGATAAAATAGTTTGAAGGAAAGTAGAATATGAAATATTATATCTTGTCAATTAGGAAAAAAAAATTAAATCATTCACTAAGTGAATGATTTCACTTTTGGTCTTTTACAAAAACTGCAATAAATTATCCATTTTAAATTTCAATCATTTCTAGCCATGCAGTGAAAAAAGGGGAAATTACAAATGATTTTCACAAAAAAATAAAAGTTATCAATAGATCTCATGAAGTTTTAAAAATGTAATCAACCCCATGAAACTTAGTTATAATTAATTTATCATATAAAATGATGAAAATATTTTATTTAAACATCATGACTACTGGCTCCGCTTAGGACCAGACCATTGGCGCCTACTCAATTTGAACCTCATTACATGCTACCTCTCATCATTCTTTTTTTAACTCACCTGCTTCTGCTTAATTTGGACATTTCATGTCTTTACTTGATGATTCCACACTATTTTCGGATGAATACAATACTTCTACTATAACATCCCAAAAATTAACCTAAGGTTAATTAAATTAATTTAGAGCAAATAAGTAATTTTGGAGGAATATTTAGATATAAATAATTTTAGTTAGAAGATTATTATTGAATTTAATTTAGATTAAAATCCTAAGTTATGATCTTATAGTAAATAGAAATAGTAATGATAATATTAAAAAAAAGGGAAGAAGAAGGAAAAGGAACATAAAATCAATTGAAAATCGAAGAGGGGGGAGAGAAGTAATTTTTGCTTTAGGTGTTGAAGTGTAAATAATGCCAAAAAAAAGAGAAAAAGTGGAGGCAGAAGAAGACATTCACGTGTGTGCATTGAAGAAGACAAAAGAAAGAGAGTAATGGCCGTGGGACCCACGCTTGTTTTAAAAAAATGCTTTGCTTTATTTCATCTATTTCTCTTCCTTCTTTCTTTATCTGCGTCTGGTGCGAACAGAGAGCGAGCGGGAGAACATGAGCGACGCTGCGGCTAGAAGAGCTGGTTTAGAAGGTGAAACTCCATAATAGGAAACTTTAGATGAGATTTTAAATATTCTAAGACTAGGTAAGTGTTTTGAACATTTTTTCTTAGTCGTTTTTTCCTTTAAGCTGCAAATTTTGATATTTTGGAAAACCTAAGATTTGAAAGAGGGATGAATTTTGATAAGTAAATTTGATCATTGAGGTTATTGGTAGTGTAATAAATATTCTAGAGTATTATTTTATTAATAGAATTGGAATTTGAGACATTTGAGTTTATCCCTAAATCCCTATGGATAGATTTTTGGTTAAATTTGAAAATATAAATTGATTTTGTTGATATTTAGATAATTATTTGAGATGAGAAATAAATTATTATGGCTATAGAATAATGATTCTTGGCTTGAAATCAAGTTTGCAATTTTTGGGTATTTTTATGTGCGAATTTTTAGAATAAAAAGGGAAATTTTGATATTAAAAAATTATTTGAATTAAATTATTATGAAGGAGACTATTGAACCAAGTAGATAGATTCAAATACATGAAATTAAATTTTAAAACTCAAGAGGCTAAGACTAAGGTCTTAAAAATAAAATAAAATAAAATAAATACTTAGGTGTTAGAGTGTGAGTGAAAATTATGTTAATAATATTATTGACACATTGGGATATGATCAATTGTAGATTAATTTCCTTTTGACACCATTTAAGCTTTGAAAAATTTTGAAAGTGTTGTAACTTGAGGGGTAACCTTTAACCTCTCAAAGGTTAAGGTAATCGGGGGAAATCTATTTTATACATTTGTATGTTACTTAATTAATTATGTTGGTGAAATAAAAGAATATATATATATATATATGTGTGTCTAAATTTTGAAATGGTTGTTTGTAATGCATGTGGCTTTGTTGAGACTCTATGACCTGTGACCAAGTTAATTATGACTTGGTGTGAGTAATGAGATTGATGGTTGATAATTATGTGTACACTCTTGGATATAAGTTGTGGATTATACACAGTGATGAATTGTATGAGCATGTTGAGTTTTATATAATGCTAATGTGATTTTGTATGATAATATAAAAATTGATGTAAGAGGCATGATTGAAATATGATGATTGTTGATGTTTATTGAGCAAGAAAGTTGATGAGCATGCGAGATAATTTTGAATTATATATATGAGTTTTTAAAATGCATTTTTCTCATGAACATGATCATATGGTGGGAGTTCGCCTTAGTAAAGGAGTTAGTGGTTACACAAAATCCATATGGTATTTGACTATAAACCAATAATCCTAGGGGTTATAGTCGCTACTTACCTTGTAAGGTACTGTAGCATTGTTTCTATTAAGGGACTTGACCCCATTGGCCAACCTGAAGTTTTGGGTATGACACCCCATAGTGTGTGATTAGGGAGAAACCATGTTCATAAGTGAGTAAGGTAACCTTGGCTCGGTAGTCCCTCATGATATGATTAAGGCCTTGGGTAGTCTCACCACATGGACGATCCCTTTCGGTTGTTGGCCCACGGATTTCATGTCAGAGAAAATAAGGGGGGATATAAAGAAGAGATTGATCATGCATATTATTACTATCATGCCATTTGAGTGATTGATGGCTATGTTGAGAATATGATTATAATTGTAGAAATGAGAACATGTAGTAATTATGTGAATAACGTATATGTGGCTATTTGTGCAAATTATGTACTTGACTTTATTTTGAAATTATTTTCATGAGTTAAATGTTAATGTGATTAACATGTTATTACTATGATTGTTTGAATGGTCACCTTGATAAATTTATTGGCCACTTGCATTCATGATTAATTATCATGCATTTGTATAACTTGGATGTACCTTGGTTACTGAGTGGTTGTACTCACCCCTCTTTTTAACATATTACAGGAGCTAGCTTATCTCAGAAGAACAGAGGAAAGGAGCATTAGGCCAAGTGATAGTAATCACTTCTATAGGCCTTTCTCTTTTTATTTTGATATGTGTATTTAATTTATGATATTGTCAACTAGGATAATATATTCTAGATCCACTTGCATTATGGGTTTTGTGTTGGGAAAAATATATTTTGGGCCCTGGGGAATGTGATTTGATACTTTGTTATATTAACGGGCCAAAATATTTGTGCAAGTGAAAATAGTTAATATTGCCTAATTTGAGAACTTGAATGTTGTTATGGTCTCCCCTTGTATTTTTGATGTCTAAGAGTAAGCAGTTGATATTGATTATATATGAATGAAAAGGAAAATTCATGTACATGGTAGGCTATTGATGAATAGATGATATATAGAGTATGATGATTAGGTAATAGTCATTGTGATAAATGTAATTGAGACCTTGGCCCCCGTTGTCAGTTATGGAAGGGTTTGAGTGGCCAAGTATTATGTCGTAAATATGTATATATGTATTGTAGAGTAAGGCATAGAGAGAAAATAAAGGGGGAAGCTCTTCTCCCATGTTGATGTGTTTCCTTTATCATACTTCCGCATATGTTTAATTGAATGATACGAGTTCTTGAAATATTTTAAAGATTTGGGATCCCTTTATATTGAATCGTTTGTGAAAATACATGTTAAGAATTTATTTAAGTTAATATCTAATAGGATAATCCTTTTGAGTTAGTCCTTGATTTACCATAGTTAGTCTGATAATTAAGTCCTAATTTAGGACACCCTTTACATATACTTTTAAACAATTCAAATATGCAAGACCATTAAATAAAGATATGAACAATCCAAATGATGCTCTTACATATAATGAGATTGACCAAAATTTTCTAGCTTTTGTTCTCATATATTTTCATTTTCAATCGGTGGTTGGATAGACTAGTAGCCACATCACTTGCTTGGTCTGTTTTGAAGAATTTGTGAATAAGGCAATCCAACTCTTGGTGAAACAGTTTGAAAGAAAATAGATTATAAAATATTATGTCTTGTCAATTAAAAAAAAATTAAACTCATTTACTAAATGAATGATTTCACTTTTTATTAAAAAATAATTTTTAACTATAAAATTATTCTTGACCTAAATGAGTTGTTTACAAATATAAATGCATTTTCAGTTTGAATGATTTTTGACGTAGTATTTGAATAAATATTTTCTATGTTGCATTGTTTAGATAATTTATTTTATTGTTTATAGCATATAGGTAAAAAAGCCTTAAAATGGTGATGAGCAGGAAATCCAAGTACTTTTTACTTGACACTTGTATCAGTTCTTAAAACCAGCCCCTCGGCGGATGTCACAACATACATTCGCAGTAGTGATCACGCTTTCCGTACAACCTTATATTGTATAATTGGTCTTTTACAAAAATTGCAATAAATTATCCATTTTAAATTTCAATCATTTCTAACCATGCAGTGAAAAAAAGGGGAAATTACAAATGATTTTGACAAAAAAAATTACAAATATGTCTCATGAATTTTTAAAAATGCAATCAACTCTGTGAGATTTGGTTATAATTAATTTATCATGTAAAATGATGCAAATATTTTTTATTGGCTCTAACCATCCATTGGGAAAAAATATTTTTTTAAAATATTTTTATTAAATTATTCATATTTTAATATTTACAAGTCAGATATCACAGCTCCACGAGTAAGTCTTTAATATTATAGGTCATATTTTTTGCATTTACAAGTTCACCTCTGACAATACTAATAGGTCAATATTTACATAATGTACAAGCTAAATGTCACATATTTACAAGTTACATATCTCAATTCATGAGTCTAGTAAATCTATGAATTTTATTTGCAAATATCAAAGTATTGATATCACAAGAGGTTGACTTGTAAATGTGAAGATTTTACTCATAAATTTTGAATATTTCCTTGTTAATATGTTATGTTTAACTTGTAAACAAGTAAACAACAATGTATTAATGTTTCAATGAAAATCAAAATATTATTAAAGAATTTTTTTTTGTTTGGTCAACACTAGTCAAGAGGTTGTTGAGAATCTAAGGTTGTTTGTGTCATTTTTCATAGCAAAATCAATTACAACTAAATTCCATAAAATTTGAGTGTATTTTAGTAAATTTGTTGAACTTATTTATAAATAATTTTTTTATATGAGATTTATTTGTAATTTTCTCATAAAAAAATCACAAAAGGGTCTAATGATATATCAATATTATTTCCTTATTTTTTGCAGCATTTTATCATTTTTAATTTATAACATTTGAGCAGGTTATTGTAGATTTTGAAATCTTATTCATTTGCAAATCTTAAGTTACTCATCAAATGCAGGGACGTGGTTGCCCCTTTTGAGTTTTGATATTTTTTAAACATCATGACACTTCCCATGCACATAATATATTAAAGATAGAATTATATCGAACCATAAAATTTAGATATCCTTAAAAAATATTCATGGAACACAGTTTCAATTTATACGTCTCAGACACTCGGCCACTCTTTTAAATCAAGTTTATTGATCTTAAAAAAAATCACTTGTTTCAAGGGACGAGGAACTATACTATGCCACATTAGCTCGGCCCACGTTAGACCAATCCTTTTCTTAAGTAACCAGGCACTTCTGTGTCGGTGGGTATGCCCAAAATTTTCACTCAAAAGGTATTAATCTTAGCCTTGGGCTAACTTGTTATTGGTGAAAATTTCAAGTTTTTTTGACCTTGTGAAATTTTCAATGTATTCTCTGGTACCAATCAAGTTATTTTTTAACTATATTAATTCATCAATCAATGATATATAAAAACAAGGGTTAGACGGATCTAATGACATTCTTGGTATCATCAGAAACAAAAAAAATGTGTTAACATGAATGAATAATTGTTAATGATTATCAAATGCAAAATAAATTAATTTGTTGTGAATTAACCAACCAGTTTTTTGCGTTCTTGGCCTGTGAGGCGTAAACCAGAAGAATCACTTGTTTTGGCATTGGCTTGCGTAAAGATAAACTGCACCCGTTATTCCCCGCAACCGGTTCATCGATTGGATAAACATCTCTCTTTTCACTTTGCCTTTAACATGTCAGCTTTTTCTTGAACAGAAAATATTAATTTTTTTCCCGACCTTTGATATCATGTCAGGACATTAGGCTGCGCAAAGAATAAAGGTGTACATGTACTACTGCACCCATAATTCTCAGCAAACCTTTTCGTTATATTATTGGATGAACATTCTTCTTTTCAATCTGTCTCTAATCTTTGGCCTTTTTCTTTTCCACGAGAACTCGGACCCACTATCAGACGCTATCGATCTGCAGGAATAACTTAATGACCCGGCAACCCCCCAGCACAGGAAGCGATCATGGATCCGTGATCCATCCATATATGTACATGTACATACATACGCAAATATATATGCAAACGCACCTACACGTTGAAGTCGATTATATTGCTGAAAGGAACTATCTAGGTGGTGAGAAAATGGGTAAAGACCTAGAATCTAGCAAGAAGCAGCTATTTACATTCGCCATGAAAGGGAAATGGGAGGATGTGATTGAACTGTACAAGAAGGAACCGAGGCTTCACAAAGCCAGAATAACGAGGTCGGGAAGCACAGCGTTGCACGTAGCAGTGTTTGACGGGAACGAGGAGGTGGTGGAACAGATGGTGAAGCTAGCTGAAACATGTCCGATACACTGTAAAGAGGCTTTAGAGACTCAGAATGACAGAAAAAACACTGCTCTGCATGTAGCTGCTTCCATGGGGAATCTCAGAATCTGTCATTTGATTGCGCAGAAACATCCATCCTTAGTCAATGTTCGAAACGTCGACGGCGAGACACCTCTCTTCCTGGCGGTTCTTCACGGCCGAAAAGAAGCGTTTCTTTGTCTTCATTATCTTTCTCACCCTAATGGTTCTTCCCCCAATTATGTTAACTGTAGAAGGAACGACGGCGACACAATTCTTCATTGTGCAATTGCTGGGAACTTCTATGGTAATAGTACCTCAGTCACCTTCAAATCCTGATATATATGATCTTAGACTTCTCTAGTACTGTTCTAACCATTTATAATTATCATGTTATTTATGTTGTTATATATTGTATTATTATTGGCAGATTTGGCATTCCAAATTATTCACCTGTATGAAGATCTAGTGAACTTGGTGAACGAAGAGGGGTTGTCTGCCCTCCATCTGCTTGCAGCGAAGCCTTCTGATTTCAAAAGTGGTAGCCGACTTGGGCGATATGAAATGATCATCTATCACTGTAAGTACTGATTAAGTCATATTGTTCATGGAAGGAAGGCTACTATTATTAATATCTACTGATCTAAGTATCATTTTTCTTCATGTTACACACACACACACACACACACACACACCTTGTTTTATTGTTTGGAAGGTATATTTGTTGAGGAGCTCAAGCAAGCTGAGAACCACCATCAACAGTCATTTTCAGAGGAAGGCAGGAACCCAAATTGCAATATTCCAGACAATTACAGGACTTGCTGCGACTTTTTTGGGATTGTGAAAACTTCGCTCACCGTTGGTACTATAATTTCTTCCTTGTTCTCATTCTTCACTCGTAATTTCTTTCTAATTATAACTACATAATGTAGCTTGATGTAAGTACTGTTCACACCCACACGCATGCGGTATTAATTAAAGGCAAAGACAAAGACATTAATACCATCAGGCATTACATTAATTGAATAGAATGTGCGTGATTTGTTTTCCCTCCACCTTTTTAGCTTTACCTTGAGACAGCTTGTGTATTTTCATTCCCAGTAACCAACAAATTTCCAGTGTTTCACTTTTTGAAAGACAAATTTTTTTCCAAAGGACAGCCTTCAAATGCAGGGGATCCCGAAGCGGCAAGAAACAATAACATCCAAGGTGAGGATTCTTTTGGGTTTTGGCGCATGTTTCTGTTTTACTATTTTCTAGGAAAGCGAATTTGCTGGGCACAAGATGACAAGACTATGGACTTGTAATGCGCGCCCTCGCCAATTCACAATTTACATTACATTTGTCTATTATCAGATCGTAGAACTCATCATCATACGCGTCAGTTATATCCAGAAAACTACGAACCCTGCTGTAAATTTTTCAGATTTGTATATCTGGTAGTGACGGTGATTCTTGGCCAAGGTATGCTTGTCTATATTATGAACACTCGTGTGTTACTTTGCAATAAGTAGATAGGAGAGAAAAAGTATCGATCCTAGGTTTTGTTTGTCCCTTTTACTCTGTTTTTCAGGTATACACGCGTCTTTAATTTGTTACTCCCATATTAATTAATCCTAAATAACCGCTCATATATATTTTGTAACGATCCAGGATCGAGCGGATTAAAAAGAATACGAAGAAAGAGGGAGAAACATGTTTGGTCTCTTCAAATAATGAATGAACTTCTTTGTCGTGCTTCCTTGTACGAGTACGAAAACAACGGGAGTGAACCCCAAGTCGATGATTTTGCCCCAGACAACGATCATAAAAAGGATGAAATAGCTTCTTTAGCCCAAGACAGCAAAATAATCAGACCTGGAAACGATAAACATCAACAGCACGAAGGTAAATTTCGAAATTTTAGATCTTGATAGTATCTCTTAGAAAGGAACAAACCAAGGGTTTGGTTCTCAACAAACGTACCTAATATATAATGTATTTAGAGTTTGATTATTCTCTCACGTGATCGGCAACATTTGTTATGTGAAGGTGGGGAGGATTCTAAAAAGAAGAGAACGGAGACACCTATACTAATCGCTGCAAAGAACGGAGTGACGGAGATGGTTGAGAAGATTATAGAATTATTTCCGGTGGCTATTCACGACATGAACGAAGAGAAAAAGAACGTAGTGCTGTTGGCAGTAGAGCACAGACCACATGTATATCAGCTGTTGCTCCAACGGAATATTCTGAAAGAGAGTGCATTTCGGAAGGTGGATCACAAGGGAAACAGTGCATTACACTTGGCCGCCAAATTTGGACAGTACAAGCCCTGGCTTATTCCCGGCGCTGCGCTCCAAATGCAATGGGAAATAAAGTGGTTCGAGGTAAATGATTGATCACTGATCTCCTGTGCCTTCGTATCATATTATATGACACATGGATCTCACAGCTTTTTGTAAATGGCGATAAACATATGTGGATGAAGTTTGTGAAGGAGTCGATGCCGTCTCATTTATTTGTTCGACGCAACAACCGTAATAAAACCCCGAAAGACATCTTCACTGAAACTCACGCACAGCTAGTGAAAAGCGGAGGGGACTGGCTGAATAAAACCTCAGAGTCATGCTCTGTGGTGGCGGCTTTGATAGCGACGGTGGCCTTTGCCACATCGGCCACCTTGCCTGGTGGTGTCGACCAAGAAACCGGCCACCCGACCCTGGAAAGGGAGCCAGCATTCAACGTGTTTGCCATCTCATCACTCATTGCATTGTGCTGTTCCATCACGGCTGTAGTGATGTTCCTATCCATACTCACTTCTCGTTATCAGGAGTACGATTTTAGAGTAAACCTGCCCATGAAGCTAATATTGGGTTTGACGTCATTGTTCATGTCGATTGCTTCCATGTTGGTGTCATTCTGTGCTGGCCATTTCTTCGTGCTCAGGGATCAACTCCAATACGCTGCGTTACCTATATATGCAGTGACTTGCCTCCCGGTGACCCTTTTTGCTCTCGCACAGTTTCCATTGTACTTCGATTTGGTGTGGGCAACTTTAAAAAGTGTGCCTCAGCGTAGCTACAAGGCCATCCCCATTAAATTCAGCGGAGAGGATTCTACCCAGAAATCAGAGGTGCCAAGTGGAGAGAGAAAGAGAGAGAATTCTCGCACGCCACGATCTCCTGCAGACTAAACGCAGCCGCTCAAACCGAAGAATGACAATGCTGGGCTAATGTCGGCACATCGCTCATTAATTCTCGAATCTCATGCATATATGTGTTTTGGAATTTAAATACTGTTTAATAATTTAATTTGTGACTTGTTCGACTGTGTGAAGGAACAGACAGTATAACTTTATTGTGCTCGTGTTACTTTTGAGATGTATACGTGTGCATGTGGATCTCCATATACATATTGTGCTCCAAATGAATGATTACGATAAAAAGCTCAACTGTCAGCAAATTATCCGAGTTAATAAAATGATTCAAATTAATAAAATATATGGAGTAAAATATTTAGGGTAACTAATAATCAAATGGCATCTCATCGTAACGAGAATTAAAATAAAATAGTCCGAGTGCTAAAAAATAGTGGATATTGTTAAATTTATTATATTAAGTATGCTTAAAGATAGCATACTCTATTAAAATAATTTAAACTATTTGATTAGATATTTCTTAAGCTTTATTATTATAATCCATTTTTTAATCTTTTTAAATATGAGACTTCTTTTTGTACTTTAATATTCTTTTTATTATTTTTTTTTCTCCTTTTTATTTGGACTTGTACTTTTTTAGTCTCAGAGGCATTAAGTCTATTTAATTTCTTCTCTTTTCTTCTTCTTCTTCCCTCTTTTCTTTTCTTTTTTTAACTTCTTGTTGTATTTTTTTTTCATCTTTCATTTCTTTTTTTTTTCTTTCTTTTTTTTGTCTCCCAATTGAATGGCTCATGATATCATTTTATATTTATTATATTAAGTATGTTTAATGATAGTATACTCTACCAAAATAATTTTAATCATTTGATTAGATACATCTTAAGTTTTATATATCATAATTTATTTTCTAATCTTTTTAAATGTGAGATTTCTTTTTGTATTTTAACAGGCATAAGTTGTCTACGAAACATAAATATGCTGCTAAACTGACGTGTAATCAAGTGGTACGAGGGGTGTGTGTGAGAACGCACATTAATTCCATTCTCATAAAACATGTGTGTGTGTGTGTGTTTTATTACTTTTAACTTGAAATGCATGCAGTACATGAAATCGTTAGTGCCACCTCAAGTTCCCTTTTAAACAAGAAAGGGCAAACTCCGGGACAAATCTTCATTGGAGATCATAAAGATCTTGTCAAAACCAGTGGTGAATGGCTTAATCGCATGTCTGAATCTTGCTCGGTGGTGGCTGCGCTGGTCGCCGGAGTTTCTTGTGCAACATCAAGCACTCTACCGGACGGCAACGATGACAAGAACGGCAAGCGGACCTTAAATGGACAGCCAGTGTTTGAACTCTTCGCTGTCACTGCACATTCCTTTGTGTTAGAGGACAAGTTCGATGAAGCAATAATCCCTCTTTTATGCTGCCACATTTCTTCCTGTTTACTTCACGTACAATCGCGGAATTCCCGCTCTACGTGGGTCTTCTTGAAACCGTTGTTGGCGAAGTTCAACGGCCATGTGATTATGTGTGTATTTGATTTTTAATTTATAAAAAATTTATTTAATAAAAGTTTATTTAGTAAAAATTAGTTGTTATAATAAAATTTACGTTTGAATATCTTTTTTTAAAAATCAATTTGATAGACTGAAAATTATTTAATTTATGATAATGAAATGTGATTTTGAATATGAAAATCAAGAAAATCAAACTTTATGAGTCTACCAATTAATGCTTATCCTTGACCTGTTTATCTTAATATTTGCTTCTTCTTCCCCACGTGTCATCTGATCTTAGTTAATACTTGTGCTATTTCTGCTGGCCGGTTTGCCTCAACCTCCCCTGTTGACTGTTATTTTTGTCGATTTGTTTGTAGTAATATGTTTGTGTTGTGTGATTTTATTATATGCAACAAATATATTGTTACCTAAAAACACAAGATTGTGTGTGATTCCTTGTTGTTTTTAACTTATCTAATGCATGAAAACAATTTATGTTGTTATTAATTTTGCAAGAGTATTATTAACTCCTATTATTAACATACCTACGTTTGATTTGATAAAAGTAACTAAAGTATATGTTCCTTTTTTTCCCTCCTAAATTCGATGGATTAATTAGTTATTATTTATTTAAATGTAATATTTATTATTTGAAAAATGATATAAAAAGATATATTTTAAATGCTAGTTTATAAATTATATTTGTTTTATTTAAAATTAAAAATTTAAAAATAAAACTATTTAAACAAGAGAATCCATTATAGTATTAACTGGTAAAATAAAAAAGAAAGAATTACAGCCAGCTCCCTTCCAAGAGAATTAATCACGGATAAGAACCAATGCGAAATAAATTGTTGTTAAAATAAGAAACATGACTTGTTTTTTTTTTTTTTCAAATGGGACTTGTTATTGATCCTTGTTCATATTTTAATAACAATCTATTTCGTATTGATACTTATCTGTGATTAATTTTTTTAAAAGGGGGTTGGCTGTAATTCTCCCAATTAAAAATGAGAAAAACTGCAAGTTATTGTAAAAACCGTTACTGTCTTGTAATTACTGTTACAGAGAAGTTTTTAAATAAATGGAATGCAATACATCATTTATAATTTGTTTAATAAAAATATAATAGGGTATATTAATGGAAAATCACAATAGTAATTTCTTAACTACGCTTAAGATTTAGGAAAGAACGCCCATGCAATCCCCTACTTGCACGCGCACATTAAAAGGATTTTTAGGCCCAATTTCTATAACCCATTGACCCATTTGATTGTGTATTTTTCTATTTTTTTTCCAATCAACATTTAATTGAAATTGCTCAAAAAAAATTTTGTTAAGATTTTTGATATTGCAAAATAGCATAGTTGAAATTTATTTTAATTTTCAAATAATATAAAAATGATACATGTTAGATTGTGTATTGACATAATAATTAGAAATTCAAATTTTAGAAAACTAAAAAAATTACGTACGCTTTCGAGCTTTATCCTGAGTCTTGTCAATAATGTTAGGTTTAAGAAGCATAGTCAATTTAAAAAATGCGGGCTTTTAGGCTCAAGCCCTAATTAAAAAGCCTTCCTGGTTTTTTTTTTTTTAGCCAGAAGCTAGAGCCTTCCTTATTAACTGCTCCATGTGCAATAATTAATATATGAAATTGTATAAAAATAAAAACTTCCATGCGTTTCATATCTCCCCGGGGTACGCATCATGGCATCACACATATCAGGTGGAGGTATGGAAAGCATGAAAGTTTTAAATTTGCTTATCGTGGTACCTGACACTTTCCAACAGGATTTTCTATTATTGTCATTAATTTGAAAGTTGAGTGTCATAAAGATGTAAACATTTTTTGTGGCTTGGCAAACACGGTAAAATTTTGACGAATCATGCCATGTTCAAGCGTGGTTTGCATGCGAACGGTCTATATATATGTGATTTTTGCGAGAGGAACGAAGAGTTACTACGATGTGCTGAGAGATTTGCATCAAGGCAAGAGATATTTAATTTGGAGTGCTTTGAACGCATCATATTCCTTCTCTAACAATTTCTGGTATACGGATTATACAAGGTTGGCTTTAATAATTTGCAGAAATATCACAATCAAGACTAATATATCTTTTTACGCCAAACAGACATATAAAATTAAATTCGGTTTGCAGAAAGCCAGCTTCATCCCGAGCCAGAGAGATAGCCAAAACACGCAAGTAATGTGGCAAGCAAGCAAGCTCCCTAGAAAAAGCGGCTCTTCTCCTTCTTGTTTAATTTTCTTTTACACTTTTGCTCCTTTAGTTTTCTTTTCTTTTTTTTTTTTTTTTGCTTTCTATCACAGCGTCTGTACCGTCGGCACTGGCCACTACTCTCTCCCCCCTTTTCTTTTTTAAATCGGCCAAGCACGTAACACAAATGTTTAGCTTTGCCTGCACAGGCTGAGATACCTGCATACTTTAGCAGCAGAAAGCTAGAAGGTAGAAATAGATCAGATAGATTAATGCTTTACTCTTGTCTCTCATCTCGTTTATTCGATCTTTGTTTTGCCCCTTTTCGTTTCTGCTGAATATTTCAGCAGCTTCCTCTTCATCTGAGATGCATGAGAATAACTTGGTAACTCGGTAAACCCCATTCCGTGCATAAAAACAGTGATCGTCTCAATATTATATAAATTAAACCATCGACGCACTGAGATCATCAACATAGCAGCTGCGCGATAGAAGCAGGTAGAGACACGATTATGGATACGGTTACGGAGCTGATGGAAAGCATTAAGAAGAAAGAGCCGATGGGAAGCATTAAGAAGAAAGAACTGTTTACATATGCCATGAAAGGCAGATGGGAAGGAGTGATGAAGATTTACGAGGAGGATCCAAGGGCACACAGCGCCAGAATAACAAGGTCAGGAGACACGGCGTTGCACATAGCAGTATCGGAAGGGAAGGTCAAGGAGGTGAGAGAAATGGTGAAGTCTGTTATATCCTATCAGTACGAACATGCTATAGAGGCCCTGCAAACTTGTAACGATCGGGGGAACACTGCTCTGCATTTAGCGGCTGCCATGGGGGATGCCAGAATATGTGACCTTATCGCAAGTGCACATCCTTCATTCAGTTCATTGGTGGATTGTCGTAACCGCGACGGCGAGACACCCCTCTTCCTGGCCTCTCTCTATGGCAAGAAACAAGCTTTTCTTTGCCTTCATTATATTTATATCCGTAACCCTCCCGACGGTCACCCTCCACTCTACTATGCCAACTGTAGAAGGAAGGACGGCGGCACTATTCTTCACTGCGCAATCAATGGAGACTATTTTGGTAAACTCATTCAACACATTCATCATCATCCATCTCTTGACTTTATAAGAGAGAGTGAATTATTGGCACATTTATATGCAGATTTAGCATTCCAAATCATACACTTGTATGGAGATCTAGTGACCTCGGTGAACGAGGACGGCTTGTCCCCGCTGCATCTGCTAGCAGCAAAACCTTCTGCCTTCAGAACTGGTAGCCGCCTCGGACGAGTCGAAAAAATCATCTATCACTGTAAGTATTTCATATTGTTTTTTCCTGCTTTCCAGTGCAGTACATGTTAAGGAAGCTTATGGCCTATCAATATGCATTGCCTCTCAATTTGAATCATCGTCCCCTTCGTTATGTTATAACGCTGTAATTTCAAAAATCAACATGCAAGCCTCTCTCTGTTTGTCTGGACTCTGGAAGGTATATACGTTGATAAGCTTAAGGTGGCAGAACCGAGGCAATACCATACTGCAGTCGAGGATGATGACCAAGCAATTCGTCAATACTTTCCAGACAATTACCACGTATTGTGGGACACTTTCAACGTCATCAAATCTATGGTCACTTCTGGTACATTTATATTAATCCATTTATAATTCATGCAAGTGCAACCTATGTTTTGTCACGCAAGATCGTTTTCGTATGCATACAAGCAATTAGTTATTTCTCAACATTCGGAAAATATAGACTGCAATTCTCCATTTTCCACTGATTATTTTATTTTTAAGAAAATAAATAAACGTATTAGTTTATAATTGAAAAATAATATTGGTGTAAAACAAGTAGGGGAAAAGGGAAGAGAGAGGGAAGAGAGAGAAAGAAGAAGAAGAATACGTCTTTGAAAACTTTTACTCAAAAACTAAATATAAATAAAAAACTTAACTTTAATTATAAAATTTTAAAATAATAATAATTTAAAAGAAAAATAAAACTCAAATGGATATTTATTGATTCGAGTTAATTAGATACTCATTCAAATTTTAACAATAACTTATTCTAAATTAAATACAATCTATTCAAATTTTTTTCATTTATATTTTGGCAATAATTGATCTTTGATTGATATAAATTTTCTCAAGCAATTCTTGATTGTTATTTTTCCTAATTTAAATTCAAATCTAGATTCTAAATATAGTTCAAATTTTTAAGTTGTTGATATTTAAGATAATGATAAAATAAATAATGAATCCTAAATCTTAGATAAATCCTAATTAACCATTATCCCATATTTTATCAAATATATTTTTATTAATTTGATGACATATAAAGATATAAAAAATGATATGCTAAATTCTTTTTCCTTCATAAAGAATCCAAGCGCGTGAGGTGTCGCCACTGGCTATTTGCTGAACTTATAACTGCCATTAAATATCCAATTAATATTTGAATGGTAAATCTGTAGCTGTAGGAAAAGGAGAACCTGATCATCAAGCAAACGGCAAGGATGTCGAAAATGCTAAAAATCATCACGCTGTCGCTAGAGCTGGAGGTCAGATTTTTTTTTTTTTTAAATTTTCGGTCGGTAATTTGCAACTTAAGAGAAGCATTTGACAATCGTACACACTGATCATATTATTAATTAGGACGGGAAGAAGTCAGGGATCATGAAAGTGGATTATTTCCTGCTAACTACAGAACCTGCTGTAATTTGATAAAATTCTTTTATCTGGCGCTGCTGGTAATTCTTGGACAAGGTACGCCATTTGTACAGTACTATTTATAATCCTGTACTGCACATTATCATATCTTACTTTGATTTACGTAATGCAGGATCGAGCAAGTTAAACAAGATACGTCGAAAGAAGGAGAAGCACACTTGGTCTGTCCAAATAATGAACGCACTTCTTGATCGTGTTTCCGATTATGAGTACGAAGACAACGGGTCGGAACCCGATATGCCAGAGGAACTGTCAAACTTTGTGTCTAAGCTATCATTCAACAAGGGCATGGGTGAGAGATCAGCGTTGTAACTTGAAATATATTCAGTAGTTTGCATGGACTATTAAATCTATTATTAATTTGCAGATGTGGGAGTGGAAGCTTCTAAAAAAAGAAAAAAGGAGACACCCATACTCATTGCTACAAAGAATGGTGTGACAGAAATGGTAAAGGAAATTCTAAGACTATCTCCGGTGGCTATCTACGATGAGAATGAAGAGAAGAAGAACATAGTGTTGTTAGCAGTAGAGAAGAGGCAACCCCACGTGTACAAGTTGCTGCTGGAGAAGAATTTCTTTAAGGAAAGTCTATTCCGGCAGGTGGATAATGAGGGAAATAGTGCGTTGCACTTGGCAGCCAAACGTGGACCTCACGAGCCATGGCGCGTTTCCGGTGCTGCTCTCCAAATGCAGTGGGAAATCAAGTGGTTTGAGGTACGTACGTCAGTAACTATATATGCTTTAGATAGCATGGTTAATATCTCCATACTTAGAGCTATATGGTTGGCGATGCAGTTTGTGAAAAATTCGATGCCGCCTCATTTTTTTGCCCACTACAACAAGAGTTACAAAACGCCGAAAGAGATATTCACCGAAACTCACAGTGACTTGGCGCAAAGCGGGGGAGAGTGGCTGACAAAGACCTCAGAGTCGTGCTCGGTGGTGGCGACACTGGTTGCCACGGTGGCCTTTGCCTCGTCGACGGCCGTGCCCGGTGGTGTGGAGGAGGCTAGCGGCCGCCCAGTTTTGAGAGAAGAGAGAGCGTTCGACTTGTTCACCATCTCATCACTAGTTGCCCTCTGCTTTTCCATTATCGCCACCATCATGTTCCTATCGATTCTCACTTCTCGCTATCAGGAATTCGATTTCAACAGGGACCTGCCGAGGAAGCTTATTCTGGGCATGTCCTCATTGTTCATGTCCATTGCATCCATGTTGGTGTCGTTCTGTGCCGGCCATTTCTTCGTGCTCAAGGATCAGTTCCGAAGCGCTGCGCTTCCTATATATCTTCTGACTTCATTCCCTGTGACACTCTTCGCTCTGGCCCAATTCCCTCTTTACTTCGATCTCTTGAAGACTACGTTAAAGAAGGTTCCGCAGCGAAGCTACAAGGCCACCCCAGTAATGGAGCACAATTCAGAGACGAAGAGCAAGAATGGGGACGAAAAGAATGTTGAAAAGGGCCAAGGATCCCCTCCCTAAAAACCCTGTGAAATGACTTTAACTTGAGATAATAAAGAGTAAGAGATCATGGAGAAGTGATCTCTCATTGTACAGTTCGCAAAGTCTCATTTAGATACCCGTCTTCACTTTAGTCAGAGAAAGAAAACAAGAGGAGGTTATGGAAGGGCGGGACTGGCCGCCGAATTCGAAGCTTCAGTGATCTGTTGCATTTCTTTTTTTCTTTTTTGCTTTGTCCTTTCTTTATTTCAGTTAAACTATATTTCAAGAAATACTTTTTTTTGGTACAAGAAATACGTTTTAATTTAAAAAATATATACGGTCATGAAGATTGCAAAGTGGAAAGTGTCTTGTCTGGAACCTTTGTAAATATCCGTGTGTGTGTGTGTGTGTGTGATCCAAAAATTTACAAGGGAAGAAGGATCAAGGGGACCTACGGGCTACGTGCGGATTTAAATCTTCTGAACTTAAGACTCATAGATTTGTGTAAAGTGTTTTTTATTAACATAGAGAGAAAAATTTTTATATTTTATAAAAAAAAAATACAACAACAAGAAGTCTTATCCATCAAATGGAATTGTTTACTTGCACAATTAAAACAAATTCATCAATTTCATCAATAAAAATACTAAAATTTAAAAAAAAAAAACCTTCATACAAATTTATCAATTTCAACTTTAGTGAACTTGAATCCCTACGGACTGCTACAGACTAATCAAATTTTTTTTGGCCGGAATCTTCTCAAGAGGAGTCTGAGGCTGATTCAACATTGCTCATTTGTCCTTGTACTTTATCAAATGCCTCCCTCCTTATTATAATTAAAGAGGTATCAGCTGAGATAAAGTGTTAAATTTGCTAAATTGTAAGGACGGATTTAAATCATTTGAAGTTTACATATATAAAGTTTTGTGAAATTTTCCTTTTAAATATTTTTTATTATTTTATAAAATATAAAATAGTTTTTTTCTTCTTTAATGCAAACTTCACTAAAAATCATATATTTCAATTTTATTTTAGAAATCCTGCTAAGGCAGGCAAGATGGTGGAGTAAAACTTCACATAGATATTTTATGAGGAAGAGAAAAAAGAAAAAGAAAAGAGAAGAACACCACGATACCACTTTCAAATAGCGACGCATTGTCATCAGAATGAATATTTCCATATATACTTGAGGGTATGCGTTTTATGTGTGTGTGAGAGAGAAACCAAAGCAAAGAGAAGAAGTGAAGAGTAAGACACTTGACTGACATCAATGGTGATGCGTGTGCTGCTGTGAGAAGAGAGAAGTGAGCATGTTTGTGTTAAGTGTGTGAAACACAAGAAGAAGAATGAAAGAGTGTCGGGAAGGGTGACGTGAAAGAGAGAGGAAGCGAGATGTAAAATTGTAGAAAAAGATACAAAGCTTGTGTATATTACAGTTGGAGAGAATAATAAAAATTTTCTCCTCTTTAAGTCATTCCTTCCTTGTCGAAGTTCACATCAATTATTTGAAAATTCTCCTATTCAAATTTCAACATCCGCTCTCCACACGTTAAACACCATGCAAGCTCCGGCATTGCGTGATTCATGCGGTCTATGTATCTTTTTTCTTTGAAAAAATAATGTGTTGAAGTATATGAACAAACTTTGATGCGCGTATTTGATGCGCGTCACTCAAACAAGCTCCGTTGTCTTAAGTACTTATGCACAATGACATTTCATGACTCAAAATTAACGTCGACTCCATATGTTGAAAATTTGTCTCATGTTGTATCTGGGCCAGTATTGTGTTTATATTTGGGCCTGCGTGCTATTCATATTGTAATGATTTATTTTTGGGCCACGTTACGTTTACTGCGATCTGCTGGTGCTGATTCTTGTTTCTTTCTGGCTATTTGAAGCCGGGATGTTTTTATCATGGGATGAGATCATTCAGGAAATTTGTACATTCTTACGAAATAATGAAGTCCTGGTTGAGCCCAAAATTCCAGATATCATTTTAGTTCTGTTTCAGAATTTCTCCACCATACAATGTGGAGAACTCATGTGTTCACTAAATAAACCAAAATCACTTGTTTGCCCATTAAATTAAACTGAGCCTTAATTCCAAAATCTCAACACAAAGACCAATACAATACTTGCGTGTTCAAGTAATTTTAGTTTCTAGGTGCAGCCGTGCAACACACGGAGGTATGGTAATATGGGAACTGAGTTTCCTCACTCATCCCTCATCTTTGGATGAAGTTTGGATTATTTCAATTTTAATTTGGATGGTCCAAATTTTAAGTATTATTATATTTTTTATATTATATTTATTAAAATAAAAATTATAAAATAATTTTAATAAATTTTTATTTTTATTTAGTCTATATTTAATTTAGAGAGTCCAATTTAATATCAAAATTTTTATAATTGATTATCCAAATCTACTTTGTACAGTCCGGATTAAAATACTTAATTAGTTTGGACTGTGCAGAATATATCTAGGTAATCAATATACATTAATTATAAAATTTTTAATATTAAATTGGACTCTTTAAATTAATTTGAGACCATTTTAAAAATAAAAAATTTATTAAAATTATTTTACAATTTTTATTTTAATAAATATAATATAAAAATATTTTTGAGATGAGCAGGGAAGCCATTCCATGGCATATGCAAGCTGTTTTTTGCATGCAAACTCTGTTTTGTCGGCAAAAGCTTGAAAAAGTTGCGTCTCGAGTCATTTTTGTAATATTCAAGATTGGTAAAATGTGAAGGCAAGAATATCGAGTGTTTGAACATAAATAATCTTTATATAATAAAGACCTCTTGCAACTACGCACTATCTATAGCTAAATCTCATATTGTTTCTCTCTTAATTAGCAATCCTTCATCGATCACGCAACATGAGCGAATCGGCATTATACGAGCACGCAATCCAAGGGAAGTGGGAGGAGGTGGTGAAGATATACGGAGGAAAAGCAGCGGGCTGGGGCGCAGAGATCACGAGCGCAAAAGATTCGGCACTGCACATGGCAATCAGTGAAGAAAGAGAAGATATTGTGGAGCAACTGGTGGATGTATATCATCAAGAAAAATCAAGGCAGAGAGGCTCTGACTGCTCAGAATGAGAATAAGGAGACGCCTCTGCATCGGGCAGCCGCAAGAGGGTCGGTCAGAATGTGCAAGTGTATAGTAGAAGCTGGACACAGAATGGGCCTGTATTTGCTCACCAGTTATTATAACAAGTGGGGCCAGAATCCCATCTTCGTGGCTGCTCTCGACGACCGTAAGCATGCCTTCTTCTACCTCCTCAAGGCTGCTGAAGATTTCCTCCCTGGTATACAACCTGATCAGCTGCTCAGAAGTGCAGGCCTTAGAGACACCGTGCTTCACTCTGCCATCAAGAGAGAGCATTGTGGTGAGAGCGACGTCGCATGCATCATGGTGATGATATATATGTTTACATGTTTAATAGTATTGTCGTGTTTTATGTATGTGCAGAGTTGGCATTCCACATAATCCGAAAGTACCCAGGTCAACTTTTGGACCGCTGCAATGCAAAGGGGATGACTCCTCTTCATGTACTGGCCAGCAAACCTTCAGCTTTTAGAAGTGGCCGCCATCTTTCTTGGTGGAAGCAAATCATATGCTACTGTAAGTTCACCGCTTTCGTTGATTTAATGAATCAACTCAAATAGGGTTTCTAAAACTACCATATACTCTTCTCGAAACAAATATTGTTAAAAGGATGAAAACTTTTGGGAATTAATTATTCTTTTTTCCGCTGCAAGCTACGCATGTTGAGCCGCTGAAATTTTATGACCCTGATACAACAACGGATCCGTGGAGCCCGAGACATGACTTCCCGGAGAAGTATCTGATATGTTCAGGTTGGTGGGTAATATAAATTATCTTGAATTCATTCCGCTCATCTTTTTAACTTATTTTGTTCAATATGTCGATGGAAGAAAATGGAGCAACAGTCTGGCAAGAATTTTCTTAGTCATATTTGTGTTTTTACCACCATATATAATTATACAATCAATTATACTATTTATAATTTATGAATAATGTAATGACTTGATGTAAATTTTATATTTTATATTTAGAGTAAAATATCAAAGTTTTAAAAACCAGACCGGTAATTGAACTGGACTAACTATTAATTTACAGTTCATTGATTTAACCGTGGTTGAAACGATTGACATTAAATTAATATATTTTTAATTTATGTATTATAATTGAATAAGAAATATATGTAAATATTTATATTTTCAAAAAATATTAATAAATTTTTTGTAAAATAATATATTGTTGATGAATACATTATTAATATTAATTATTCTTAACTGTTCTTTGTTTTAATTAATTTTTAAATAATTCAAACAGGTTTTTAAGAGAATTGGTCCAGTTTTCAACTGTTTTTTTTTTGGACTGATTTTTCTGTTCATTGACTGGTTTCTTTGTGAACGACTTTGAGGGGTCAACCAAACTGGATCAAGAGTCAATTCTTGATTCAATTAGTTAAATTGGCCGGCTTAATCTGATTTTTAAAACACTGTAAAATACATTAATTTCCTCCTATTTTATCTTAATTAGAGATTATTGCACGCAAGGGATCACTTTTTTTGCTCAAATTATTAACTAAAACGTGTTCAAACCAAATTGGATATGCAGTGTGTGCAAGACCTTTTTCTTAAAAACAATAAAAAATTATTTTTTTTGAGTATTTTTCTTTTTACTTTTCCTTTTATTTTCCTCTTAATTTTCCCTCTATCCAACTCAAACTGCAAGAGCGCGCGCACGCAACTATATTTATCCTTTTATATTTTATAACCGACCCTTTCTCTACTAAAAAAAAAAAATCTGAGCTGACCTAAATATTGTTCAAGTTATATGCACTTGAAAAAACTTCCTGTATAATTTTTTAACTAAAAATGTCTCATTAAATATTTCTGTATTGGTAGTATAATTTAGAAAACTTTTAAAAATTAGATTAAAATGTATATTCGAAAAAAGTAAGATCTATATAATTTTGTGTAATTTTACGTGCAACTTTTGGATAATTCGTTTATAACTCATAGCCTCATAGGTCGATGAATAGGTGAATTTGTTGGACATATAATCGTGCATTTATCATCTTGGCAGGAATAATGAAGGCAGAAAGGGATCCCGAGAACCCAAAGAGTTCTGATATTAAGGGAATTGTTCCACAAAATTATGCTACCTGTTTTGGGTTTCTAGCCACCGTCTTCATAAATTTTTGTGACGTTCTAGGACTGGGTATGTAGATACCATAGATCTTCCAATTAATTAAGTTTATATATATATATATATATATAAACACTCGATCGTTTTCTGCAAACACATATTTGTCAGTTAAAGTAATTACCGATATAATAAAAGAGAGACAAACGCATGAATGGAGTGTTCAGATATTGGATGAACTCCTGGAACATCCTGCGAAGGCATACATGAACAAAGATGAAGGAAGTAAGCCCCGTGATGGAGAATCTGATACTAATTTTCTTTCGATGTCGGCTATCAAACCGAAAACTGAAGATAAGAAAGGTACGTAATCCCTGCATATAATTATTTCCAGTGCGTTGAAATCTCAAACGCTTTTGCCGTGAACGAAAACTAATATGGCCAGTTTGTGATAGAAGATCAAAAGGAGGCATCGCAAGGTGAAGCGAACAAAGATGGGGCTCAAGAAAGAACTGATACGGCCTTGGTGGTGGCAGCCAAGAATGGCGTAGTTGAAGTTGTGACCAAAATTCTTGAACGATTGCCAGTGTCCATCCACGACACCTCGTCAATGAACAAGAATATATTGCTGGTGGCAGCGGAGAGCAGGCAGCCTAGAATTCTGAACACGCTGCACAAACACTTAAACCAAGCACCAAAAAAGCATAAACTGTGGGAAGACCTCATTCGAGGAGTGGATACTGATGACAACACTATGTTGCACTTAGCAGCGAGGTATAGCACAAAAGTGCATCATATTTGGCAATTTCATGGCGATGCCCTGCAGATGCAACGAGAAATGAAGTGGTTCGAGGTAACTGCATGCGTAGATAAGCGCGCGCGCACATCGTTGCATGCCATTCTCACAAACACGTATTATTGAACTTGAATATATTTGCCCTTTGCAGCATGTGAAGTCGTTGCTGCCAGCCCACTTCGTTTTCCTAGCCAACAACAAAGACGAAACTCCGGAACAAATCTTCACCAGTGATCATAACGATCTTGTCGATAAAAGTAGCAAGTGGCTTAAGGAAACGTCTGAGTCTTGCTCAGTGGTGGCTGCGCTGGTTGCCGGAGTTTCCTTTGCGACGTCAAGCTCTGTCCCCGGAGGCACCGATGAGCGGACTGGCAAACCCAAACTAGAAGGACGGGCTGCGTTTGAACTTTTCGCTGTCACTGCACTTATTGGGCTTTGCTTCTCAGTCACTGCACTGATCATGTTCCTCTCCATACTCACCTCTCGAAAACAACCAAAAAATTTCAAGACAAATTTGCCGCTGAAGCTTCTTCTGGGCCTAAGCTCATTGTTTGTGTCCATTGTCTCAATGCTCATCTCTTTCTGCGCTGCACATTTCTTCGTGCTTGAGGACAAATTTAAGAATGGAGTGTTCCTTCTTTATGCCGCTACTTGCCTTCCTGTCTCCTTCTATGCAATCGCACAGTTCCCGCTCTACCTGGATCTTTTCAAAGCCATTGTTATTAAGGTTCCCCAATCACATCATTTTGGCCATTTATCATAGTATGTGTGTGTGCATTTCTCGCCGGAGAATTTCCTCCTTTTCTATTTTCATCTAATTCATATATTTTGTTTGTTTGTTTTTGTTTTGGTTTGTTCCCCGCCCAATTGACTTGATAATATTTGAACCTAGATTTTATGATATTGAATCGTTGCTTTTCCACCATAGATTGGAAAAGGTGTGTTCTTATTTGTGCTTTGCATACGAATAAGATCCTCCAGTTAAATACATGATCAACCTCTCTCAAAGAATTAATGTTTGGGATTCGTGGTTTTTTTTAACAAAAAAATAGGTAACGAAATAATTGATGTATTGTTTCATGTTACTTTGCAAGACCTTAATACAATAATTTAAGGTAAAATAACAATTAGGGGACCCCTAAGGTTATTAATTATAATTAGATATCCTAAATTATTGAAATTTTAATAATGAACTATGGTTCTCACTTGAAATTAAAAAATATGAATACTCTCTTTTAAAGTGACTTTCGTAAATTTTTAAGTGACTATTGTATATTCACAAGTGTTTTTAAAAAATTTCAAAAGTAAATTTTAGTTCATATTGAAAAACAATAATCCATTTTCAACTATTATTCATTAGTTTTTCAATTAAAATTAATAATATTCACATCCTATGATAGTAATTTTAATAGTATCATTTCTTTATTTTTCAAGTAGTCTATCAATGAATTAACAAGCATAAAATTTTACAAGTGATTGGGTTTAGATTCAAAAGTGATTTTAGTAAATTTTTAAGTGACTATTATATAGTCATAAATACTCTTGAAAAATTTTAAAAGTAAATTTTAATTTCATATTGAAAATAATTCATTACCGATTATTGTTCATTAGTTTCTCAATTAAAATTAACAATATTTCTATGCCATGATAATTATTTCAGTAATTATTTTTTTATTTTGCAAGTGGAGGATAATTTTATAAATTCATGTATGTTTTTAATTTCAAGTAAGAGTCATGGTCTATTATTGAAATTTTAATCATTTAAGATTTTAATTGTAATTAATGGCCTCAAGGGTCCCTAATCGTCATTTTCCATAATTTAATTTGTATCAAACTTTAGCGTCAAGCGAAACGCATACAAGTTTACACGTTGCACAATACACACACAAACATATATGCACCTGTGTGTGTACGCATATGAAAATGAACTGGTCAACATTAGTTGTTCTTACAATCGTTGACTTTAAACTTAATAAAACAATTAAGTATTCGAACTTGTATACTTAAAATACTTCAATTCTATTTCAACAAAATCAAAATAAATGGAAATTTTCTGACACTATTTATTCTATTATTAACACTCATCATTAAGATAACTAACTAACTTTAAATTTAAAATCCGTGTGTGGTGATTTGATTTGATAAAATTATAAAGCATGTTCCTCCGTCTTCTAAATTCAAAGGATTAATTATATATATTATTTCTTTAAATTTAATATTTATTATTTGAAAAAATATATATTTTAAATGTTCATTCATAAATTGTACTTGTTTGCAAGTTAATCTAAAAATCATAACTATTTTATAATTAAAAGAAATAAACACAAATACGCAATGCTAATTCTCATATGATATATTAGAAAATCACAATAGTAATTTTTCAATATATAGCTGGAATACAAACTCTTTTTTCCAACACTGATGATGACCTTATTTTGCCGAAGGTATCAATTAAATTATCATTATATTGTCAAGAATTCGAATCTAATGGTGATCTACATCTCTAATACAAATTTTATTATCTGAGCCGCTGAGATTTAATTTGGATGTTAGAAGTCTTATTATTATTTTTATGTTTTTTAATTTAAATATAATTTTTAACAAGCCTTTTGTAAAAATATTAAAATTAATAAAAATTCATAATATCCTAATTATGTTGTCCAGGTTGAAAATTTACTGGGCACATTTTATTCATAATTTTATAAGATATACAAAGTTAATCTCGCGTTCATGAATTCCCCCACTCCCGCAAAAAAAAAAAAAAGAAAAAAATCCAAGGGAGTAGTACCTTTAGTTTTTTCCTTTTAGGATAATGAAATAGCTTGATCCAACAAGGGAAGCTGGTATTTTTCTGGTAATTTAAAAAGAAACATAATAGATTGAACGGTCATGGATATGAATAGATTTATCGTGGATATTCTGAATGAACCGAAAACTTTGTCCCTGAGTTCTGTGTAAGCTGTAAAAACCTTGAAAGGAAACCCTCATTGTCAAGCTTACGATTGGTATTCTATGCATGAGACACACAAACACACACACAAAGTGGCAAAAGCCCAGGGCTTCTCTTCATTCTTGCCTATCTATATATTTTCTTTGTCTCTTTGTTCCGCTCTTTTTGTGTTGATGACTCTTGTTTTAAGGTTCTCTCGGCCCGTCGCACAAACTGGATGCAACTGGCATGCAAGTCTAAACAAAAAGCAAATGATATATATATATATATATATATATATATATACACTTATTGGCTTTTGTGACCTTCAATCTTTTATTTATCTCTCTCTAAAACTTGTAGCTGTAGACTGATTCAACTGCATCTTCATGCATCGTGCATCCCTCTTTAACTCGTAATGCTTGTTATTAATAGAAGAGATAAATTAAAGAGACAGAAAGAATATTCGCGCAAACACAACTTTAAAATAGTGTCATTAGCTTATACTTATGTCGTCACCTTAGAATGAATCTTTCCCAACACGTAGGAATTTAGATGCTGGTCTGTTTGCGTCATCCACTTCTCTATTCTATGCATTCCATCTCTTTCTTCTCTTCACGTAGATGTGTGAGTATGCCCTGCACCACTTGTAAGAGGTAAGATCCTTTCTGCTTTTCGTGATTCTTGTGATCTCATATATGAACACGCAAGGCGTCTATTTATATATTATAAACGGTTAAAATATAAATCTACTTGAAAGTGTCCAGCAAGAAGTATAATTGGTATTCATGTGACATTATACCGTTTTTAAAAAGTCCGGATAACGCTGCACCATAAAAACCCGATTATATATGAAAGATAGGTTGTACGGATTATCATGGCTTTTTGCTAGCCACACTATTTTCTTTATTTCTTTCTTTTCTTTATTCTGATTAACTACTCTGTCCTCCACCTATCTATCTTTTTCATCCTGAAGCTAATCAAGCAATCTGCTACTTATTCTGCATGTTATTGCGTGTTTTAGAAGTGCAGAGTTTGATATAAAATGACATCACCTTGAATAGTGATCGAAATAGTGAACATTATATTGTGGTCTTCATATTATGTTCATCAACAAACTTAAACAAATGGAATATAATATCGCTTTTCATGGTCGACTTCAGAGAACGAAGATTTTCCACCAAGTACTGAAGAGGAAAATGAATCATATAGACATGTCATTTAGCTACCTATACATGTTAAATCATATATATTTTACACATTATACTATTTTTAAAACCAGTGTTTCAAAACTTTAAAAACTCACATGATAATTTAAAAAACATAAAAGATTAATTTGACAAAAATTAAACTCAAGGGACCAAACCAATAAATAAGACAAACTTGAAGGACAAAAAATTTAATTATCCCACATATATTATTACTTGAATAGTTGAATTGATTAATTCATATGGGATCTTAAGCTCATTGTTTGTGTCCATTGTCTCAATGCTCATTAGTCTTTATCTGCGCTGCACATTTCTTCATGCTTAAGGACAAACTTAATAATGGAGTGTTCGCGCAATGACATCATTTTGGCCATGACTTGCTTTCCTGTTTCCTTCCATGCAATCGCACAGTTTCCGCTCTACCTGAATCTTTTAATTTTCAAAGCCATTGTTACTAAGGTTCCCCAATCACATCATTTTGGCCATCTATCATAGTATGTGTGTGTGTTTATATATATATATATATATTATTTCTGGCCGGGAAATTTCCACCCTTTCTATTTTCATCTAATTCATATATCTTTTTTTTTGTTTTGTTTTTGTTTTGGTTTGTTTGTTCCCCTCCCAATTGACTTAAGCTATATTTGAATTGATGGATTTTCATTTAAATTTTATATTTAAAATCTCATATTTAACATCTCATATTTAAAGTTCTATGTTGGATAGTGTAACTTTTGGATATAAAAGAGAGACAAGCCGGTAATTGAAGCAAAAAAAAAAATGAAAGTGACAAACTTACCTTTATTCTTCAATTTGTAAGAGAGGAGAATGAAAAATGAGAGGAGTGGTGAAATTAACACATGTATCAATAGTGAAAATGTGAATAAAACAAAAAAGTTGGAGTATGTGAAATTTCAAATAACTATCTCTTAGAAAAAATTTGAAATTATAATTACAAATAAGTTGTAACAAAACATATTCTTTGGATTTGGGTCAAATCTAAAATCTAAATCCAAATTCTTTTGCATCCAAATGTACCACTGATAGCATTTGAACTTAGATTTTCTGATCTTAAATGCTTGCTTTTCCGCCGCAGATTGAAAAAGTAGGTGCGTTCTTTGTGCTTTGCATATGAATACCCTCCAGTTAAATACATGGTCAAGTTTGCTCAAAGAAATAACGTTTGCGATTCGTCGTAAAAAAACGTAAAGAAATAATTTACGTATTTTTTTCATGGTAATTTGCAAGACCTAATTAAATACAATTATTTTTTTGGCCAGTAATTAAATGCAATAATTTGTACTATCAAACTATAACAAGCGTCAAGCGAAACACCTCCAAGTTTACACTCTACACAATAGTATGAATCCCATCTACAGCTTTGAGTCAATAGCACCCTCCAACTGTGGTTAGTGATTCAATTTCAAACAGAAAGACACAAACATATAAGGACGCACAAGTGTATATATATATGAATATCAACTAGTCAACCTTAGTTGTTCTTAAAATCGTTCACATTAAATTTAATAAGACAATTAGATACTCAAAGTTAGCTTGTATACCTAAAATAATTCATTTTTATTATTAACTTACTTTTAAATTTAAGATCAGTATGTTGTGATTTGATTTGATAAAATTATAAAGCATGTTCCTTCATCCTTTTGTTTTGATTGCTCACACTTATTATTATTCTATTAGAAATAATCTTGTTTGAAACAAAGTTGGATACTAAAAATGTT